GGAAAGGGGAGGTCACGTAACCTTCGATGTCAGACACGTACATAGCTTTCTGGCCGACCAATCTGCCTGTCGGCGTAGCAACACAACTTGTCGCGAACTGGAAATATGGCAACTTCGAACCCGCAGGGTCAGCATCGTCGGTTCGACACCGGCCGCCGAGATCTTTTGTCTTTCGATCGTTTTGGCTTTTCTGACAGGGCTGAAAGAGAGTTACCATGTCAGAAAGCCCTTTTTGCTCAAGAGACAAAGCTGCCGCCGACTGTTCTTGAGCAGGGCAACTGTGTCTTTTCAAAAGGCTTATGCAGATGTTGGTGGCTACAAAAACCACACCAAAAAGCACCGACAGCCAGCGTCTGAATTGTTTCAACCCGTTGACCGAGACAACCGGACACGTTGCGCTCCAATGTTTGTTAAAGCTTTTCGTCGCAGAGCTGAAGATTAGTCTCCCAAACGCGGGGCAGTCAGGTTGATTGATAGCAATAGAAGGTGCGGCAGCCTTCGTCGTCAGCCATCAGAGTGGCGCAGCGGAAGCGTGGTGGGCCCATAACCCACAGGTCGAAGGATCGAAACCTTCCTCTGATACATTTTTGGAGTTTCCTTTTTCGGGATCATGCTTGCGAGCTGACGTCATCGGGAACGTGACGTTCCCAACGAGGTGACGTCCCGGCTTGTTGGTGCCACTTGTCCTGGTTCGTTAGCGTGCAAGGCCTGAAGCTTCTTTTGAAGGACGGTCCACTACAGCCAATCTTCGAAATGAAATCAGCCATGGCTAAGCTTGAATAAAACACGCTTCCTTACTCATATAAGTGTCTCTTCTGTTTTCTGTCTTCTGCTTTCTGTCGGTATTGATGCGACCTCAGCATGGAGACCAACCGGTTTGACTGATGAAAAGGTTCCAAGGTGATATTCATCCCAGTACAGCAGCTGCCCCAGTCTGAAAACTTGCTGTCATCGGATCTTGGCATCTGCGCTGTTGTCTGGCTCCGGTTCAACAAAAGTGGCTTCCAAGGTGACGTCACCACAGAATGTCACTCGCCAGGTGACGTCACCAACGAAAGTGACGTGCTCCGCTGTTTTCGTGTACTTGATGTTGAGAAAGCAGTGTCTGGTTTTCGGCGAAGCAATCCCTCAGCGCAGCAGCGCAGTCAGCCTGGGACCCAAACGGGTCAGCCTTTGGCGTCGATCAAACCGTCGTTTCGAAACCGGCCGCCGACGCCTCCTTGCTTTTCCGTTGTTCGCGGAATTGTGCCAATGCAGGTCTTCCGGACCCACGCTTCCCACTCTTGTTGACATCAAGTTGGTGAAGAAGTGTCCCTCACCCTTTTGATGAAAGATGTGAACAAGAAGCGTCTGGAAACCTCATCTATCTCAACTCTGGGAAGCACGTACGTACACACACTCTGATTCGCTGTTGGGCTGCCAAGAGACTGTTCTCGACTCATTTCCTGCTCCGCCGGGCTGTCCGCTGACCCCGGCGCACAGGCATCTTTGGCCGTTAACCATGGGCTGGTTAAAAAGTGGTTATATGTCCCTGGGCGATATGTGGTTATCGCCCAGGGACTTGGGCGATAACCAGCCTTGGAGCAAGGTTAAACATTGGCTATTCCACTAATAACCGGAGATCAAGTCTGGCAAATAGCCTGATTAGCGGCCAAGCAATCCTGTGGCGCGCTCATTTCAGTCGAAGCCTCGAGGACGTGAAGTGCTCGGGGACTCCCGCCGAGCCGTTGCCTCCTCTTCCGGACCGTCCGCCACTTCAAGCTTTATTAGCAATCTTTGGCAAGCCCTTTTAAGGGTATTCGGCACAGAGGTCTATTCTAGAGAAGGCACCAACACCTTTGCTTACAATTGCAGTGAGCGCTGAGGTCACTGCGGCGTGGCAATTGGGTTGCCGGACCACCGTTTTGCCACCTCATAGTTGTTCAGGATTGAAGAGTGTCCGCGCGCGGGTTGCCCTCTGGACCGTTGCGGACGCCCACTTCACCACCGTCCGCAAGCGCTTCCGTTTCGTGAGTTCCTGGGGTTTGCGGACGTCGTTCCAACGAACTTTTGCGTACTTTGTCTTGTCCGCGATTCAGTTCGAACCGAGGTGACGTAACCGTCAAAGAAAGAATCGTGCATAGCCTTTCAGTGGACCGTTCTGCCCGTCGGCGTAGCAACACTCAACTAGTCGCGAACTGGAAGCTTTGGCAATTTGAGTCGACCCCGCAGGGTCCGAATCGTCGGTTCGACACCGGCCGCCGACATCTTTTGTCCCGCGACCGTTTGGATGTTTTGGCAGAGCTGAAAGAGTGCTACTACAGAGGATTTTATTGGTATTCTGATCCGCTGTCGTACTTCGGGCTCCACATCGGTGAAACAAGCTGCCACCGTTTCTTGTTGAGCGGACGACTGGTTTTGTTCAACAGACTTTAGCTGTGGGGAGAACAGGCATCCCAAAAAGCCCTGGAATCTAGCGTGTCATTTGGACTCGTCAGTGCGGACATCCGGCCACTCCGCTCTAACAGTGCTTCCGCCTGTTTTGCAGGCGTCGAGCCCGTCCTTCTAGAGCCACTCCGCCCAGATTACGACCTTTACATTGACGCCCCTTACAACGTCTTCGCTCTCAGCCCGGGAGGTGTGAATTCGCTCCCTCCAGAGGTATACTGCGCGCGAGCGGGGCTAACTTACGGGTCGGTGGCGCTAGAGGACGCGGAACAGGTGAGGCTATTCACACCTGCGGGTGGTGCGTGTCTGGATGAAGTGTGAATAAGCACATTCAGGCCGGCTCATCGGGTCACAACTCACGCAAGCCGCGAGCGGTGTGCCTGGCCATTCAGACTCTGGGGAAGTCAGTATGCCGTGACTCTCTTTGCTGAGATAGTAAGTCTACTGCTCAAAGTGTGGCGATGTGAGTGTGGAGCCCAATGGACGAGCGGCATTGGCACCCGAACTCACGCGACCGTTCAGAATGCATCTAAGCCGTCGCCTGATAGAGTTTGCACAGATCTGTGTCTCGGCGGCCTGTACCAGGCGCTGTAATCGGCGACAAATGTACTGTGTTTGGTCTTTCTACTACTTCAGTAAATAAAACCCTGAAGCTCGTCTGGCCATTGGTAAAGGTGGCGTGTGCGCCAAAAGCCACATCATCAAGTCGAGTTTCTGTACTCCTCCGGTCTTGCTCCCTGCAGCTTACAACTAATCAAAGCCGCCCTTTCGAGTCCCAAAGAAGAACTTGTAACGCCTTGCCCAATCCTCTCCTGCCACGTGTCGCCAGGTCGCTAAGCACGTGACCTACCCGTGCCCCGCAGACTACATCCGGACTATTCTCAGCTGCGGCCTCCCGTCCGTAGCGGCCCGGCTGACGTCAGACGGAACCCTTGTGGCGTGGGCGCTGACGCAACCTTACCTGGCATTAGGAATGGTTAACGTCATGCCGGTAAGCCCTTTATTGCAGCCGCTACAGGATGGTCCTCGCCCCTACTTTGAATATACAGGAACTTAACGCTCTCTAAGCTACGCTCTCGAAGGATAGCAACGATTTCAGGAATTTCAAAGATTCCACCGTGGCCACTACGGGGATAGTAGCAAGGATGGTAGCTTGCACCGGGGCAGCCTCCTGGAACGAGAACTCGATCGGACGACTAATATCGATCGACTTTCTTGAAGCAAGTTGCCCGGGCCGAAAGTAAGCTGCGCAACCGGTCACCGGTGCTAGATTCATCATCCATGACCGGAGGTGCTGAATAGCCTGCGAGAAACCGAAGCAGTCGGTACGTTCCTGGTGGGCCACCTGCCGGGCTCGGAGTGCGGGCCCGGTGCGGGCAACGCCGACCCAGTTCGGACACCCCCCTGGGACACTGACTCGGTAGTCGGTACGGCGGAAAAGTTGGCCGGTACCGACCGGCGTTGACAGTGCTCATTGCACTCGAGTGAACCGTCGATGTGCAGGCCGTAAGTACACGGACGGCGCAGAATCAGTTATATTGTTGCCACGGTGGAAATTGTTGCTACGTCAGCAAAGTGTGCAATTGGACGAGTTTAGAGAGCGCAGGGCAAGTTAGAAAGCGTAAACTTCTTACATATTACTTTGACCCGTCCCGTTGGGGAGCCCTGTTCAGAAAGTGTCCCGCTTTAGTTCCGTTCTTAGGGGTCCTCAGGATTCGGAACCCCTCATGCTACTGTGACCGCTCCATCGGGAGACCACTTTCTTGAGAAAGCGTCCCGCTCTAGTGCCTCCTCCAGGCCCCTACGAACAGCTCTGTCCTTTTTTGAGCGTTCTCATTCTCGAACCGGGATTTGGGAGCTCCTTCTGCAATCTGCCGGGTCTAATTCGGCCCTGCACCTGAAAAGATACCTTCGTTAAGCTCTTATCACTTTGTTTTCTGCTTGTGCTGTGACGTCCCCCTCTTTCCAAATCTCGATACTGCATTTTGGGCAATCGTCTGCTGGCTGCGCCAGCGCGCCACTCACGTCTTTTCCAGGGGCCAGGGGCCAAAACATCTAATGCGCAATTGCGTCGTTGTGTTTGACTGGAAGATGCGGCCAATCATCACCTTATTAGGCTTCTACTCTGGGCGGTTCTGGTTGTTTCCAAAGACAACATGCCGATGCTTTTAACAAAGAACAGAATCTATATCAACAAGCGTCCTTCTTGGGCGGACTGTTGCTTCTCTCCTTGTCTTCATTCTTCCGTGGTGTCTTCATCACTTGATTTCGTTTCGTTTATCAACCCCCTGCTCTGTGCGCTGTAAACCTGAGACGACGTTAACTTGGGTCAGAAACTGATTCGTACCTATGAATGAAACTCTCAAAACTCAGATCGTTAGACGGTGAAGATTTTGCACAGTCTTCGGAACTTTGCGTGCAGATTGACAATTGTCTCGCCTCCTTTGATTCTGGTTGTTGGCGCTCTTTCTTTTGAAAAGGAATCTGAGAAGACCTCTCACTTGGGTTCGGCGGGATTGGCGACCTTCTGCTTAATCGCTGGCCGAAGGACGAGTCTGCAAGGTATCAAAACTGGAACTTCTCTCTCATGCCATCTACTTACAATGTCTCATGGACACTTCTTCGGTTCTCATTTGTCGGCGACCTAGGAGCTCTGAGGACGTGTCTTGTCTCCGGTTCGCGGTTGCGGCATTCCTTTTCCTGCACGGCTTTGTAACCGATGATTCCTGAAGGCAAGTCTTTTTTCGAAACAGGGTCATCGAAGAAGCGGCCTAGGGCGTGCTGTCGTCACGCTCTTGGCCCGGCAGCAGCTGGCGCGTGGCTGGACGTCACACGCTTACGTCAGCGTCGACAACGTCGCGTCCGAGCAGCTCTTTGCGTCGCTGGTGAGCCGCTGTCGTGACGATAAATGGGGCTCACTCGTTGAGCCCATCTGCTCCCACCATACGGGGCAACGAGTAAGATGCCCAAGCGTTTAAGCCAATGCTGTTATTAGTTTCTCCTTGTGCGGTCTTACGTCAGGTGTTGAGGATTCGTATGTTGTTTGAGAGATTGGAGACGATCTTTCGGTGGAAAAAGTTCGTGAGGTCACTCCCTTCGTCGATTGTTTCCACCGTCTTCTTAAAGTCTGCAAAGCTTCACATGGTTTGCTTGCCCAACTTAGCTTGTTCGCATTTTGGGTCTGATATTAGCCTGTTCGCATTTTGGGTCCGATCATGCAAGCCGAGCTTATGTTGAACATGCACGACCAATCCTTCGGGGCCACGTATGCTCAAGTTCCCAAAAAGCGGACGCATTGCTCAGCCACGTCCTTTATATGGCACAAGCCCATTCGGCTAAAGCTGATTGCTGAGTTGTTTACTTTCTGTTCGTAGGGGTACAAAAAGGTTGAAAGAGCCTATTGGACAGGCTGCATGGTTCAGACCCCAAGCTAGCCGTTTTTGTGAAAAGGGAGGATGGAGTTCGTGAGTTGTTCAGTGACACGAACTATGCATCACTGACATAAGCTTGCTGGACAGATCGGTACCTTGTGGCAATAAGTGTGAGATGAAGCCAATCATGGCTTTATGGGGGCAGTTTGTTGCAAAATCAATCTCATGTGATTGTGATAACGTGACTTCAGTCACTTTAGTCGAGTCACTCGGTTTTTGTGATTGACTGTACACAATTCTGTGAGCTCACCTACATGACGAGCTGTACTATAAGTTCATGCTGTTTAAATCCCATGTAACGACATAGGTTGAATGAAGCACGCAATCACAATGTGTAGACCGGACTTAACCTGAGGTTCGTGGCATGACATCCACTCGATTTTAAAGCCCAAGCTCGCGCATTTTGCAGCAAGTCCACTAGTTTGAATATAGTGCACCCAAGCCCTGTCACGCAGCGATATCGTTATTAAAAAGCTTTATAGTAAGGAGCAACAATAGGTTGAATGCTGTCATTGTCTAGAGTCATGACTGCGCTTTATCTAGATTGCCAGCTAGGCCGGCAGCGTCTTCAGATGGCGCGCTTGCTTCGGCGTGCCACTCGATGGATACTTGTCTGCCCGTGCGAATCAAAGGCATGGGGCGGAGTGCGGGTACAGGGCATTGTTAGTGCTGTTCGCAAGGCAATGTTCTGACAACAACGTCTCGACAACTACGGACTCGATGCATTTGTACTGGTATAGAGTCATCGACACCAATGGCACGGGTGACAAGGTGACAGGGGCGGCAGCACGCCGGCACGCCGACTTTTGAATCAGGATCCGGAATTCAGGCAGGGTTTACCAGTATGGCAGTAGCTATGCTAATAAAATGTTCAAGAGTCAAGACTCAAGTCGTACCCGCGGCGAAATTTGCGGCCGGGTTTTACGCGGCGCTCGGCTGCTAGCATGCCATGATGCGTCACGACTCACAACCGCCGTGCCAAGTTCCAACTGCATATCCGGATTCCGGATCCGGAATTCCGAGACGAAGCGGCGTGGAAGGCCGTTCGCATCAACCTAGGCAGCTAGGAGCGCCCGGGGTAAACCAAAATCGGCCCTCGGGTACAACAAGTGCCTCCGAGTCGTTTAGCCGGGCGGACCAATATAATAAGCTTGCCAGCCTGGGACGGGTAGGGTTAAGTTTGGGGTTAGGGTGGGTACGGCTGCGGAGCACGTAGATTACCGTAGTGGAACGTAATGATTCCGAATAAATAAATAATTAATTGCCGTCGGAAAGTTAGAAACTCATTTTTGGGTTCGGAAAGTGGATTTTTGCATTCTAAAAATAATTGCTCAAGGGCGTTCGGATTTAAAAAAAGTACAACCGGTCGGTTTAAAACATACAAATGTGGGGCAGAAAAGCGCTCGGGGGACGATTCCGGCCCAATTCGGATTTGGGGTCGTATTTAAGAAATTAATTGAGAAGCTGAGGTCGTATTCGATAAAATAATTGTAATTTTTGACCATTCGGAATCATTACGTTCCACTACGGTATATGGCCGGGTAAAAGGGCTGGTTAGTGTTTAAGCTGGAGCTCCATATACCGTACCTAGCTCTTATTTAATTGTTCAATGTACCTACCCCGTCAACAAGGCTGGGTCCTGCCACCAGGCCCCAGCTACCCAAAATCAAGAATTTCGATTATTGTTCACACCGCCCGGGTTGTCCCGAGCACTCCTGTTGACAATTGCCCTCTCCGACCACTCAGGACTCATGAGCCGGTTGGAAATCGCCGACTCATCGAGCCGCACGTGTTTGTGAATTTAGTAGGACACTACCCTGTTCTGGCCTAGCCTAACAAAATTGCGGGCCGGTGGGTCGCGGTAGGACTACGTCATAAAAGGACGTGCCATGACGTACGAAGACATGTGCAAAATATCAGCTGCAAATCGTGCCACGTGAACCCTCAGGTTTGACAAGATGGGCTATGATTTCCTACTAGCTCCCGAATCGCCGTGTGATTAGTCACGCGCTCGCAGCCTGAGTTGACTGCTCAATCTCGATTCTTAACTGGCGCCAAATAGCAATCCCCTGCACTATGACCTCTTTTGATTGGCCAAAAGTTATGACCGAATCCCAGCAAGGATACGAGGATTGGTCGATTGCAATATCCTCCGATTTGGAGGCCGGCCGTGCCGGCGGTATAATGATGTCAATGTTTCGAACGTGCTGGACAAGCGCCCCGGGCCTGGGGGTGATGTCATGCATGATGCAACGAGAGCACGATCTAATTCAAAGCTTATTAACGAGTACCATGCCCGCACAAAGGAGTATGACAGAAGACTGATGACCGGTGCTTATCACCGATCACCAGAATCATGCCTGCTGGGATCGTTTATGCGGTGAAATATTGACCAGGTGGACCGTGGAGGTTCCACGGTAGTCATCGCCTGGTTCCTTTTCAACAACTTGGAAATTTTGCATGCCACAGAAGAGGGAGGTGATACGGCCCCAGTACGTAAGCACGGACACGCTGCCGTCAGGAACAACCTTCCATTATTGCGCGCCTGTCAGACTCCCAGAATGGCGCATCATCGTGCTGATTATAAATCGTAGCTTGTATCATGTACCCGCTACCTGTATTGTTCTCAGTGATGATTCTTCACTCCTGATTCCTGAATCGTCAGGTTTAACAGGTATATGAAAAAATTTGCATTAATTGATTCTCTCATCTGGAGACTGGCACGCAAGCTTTTGAACTTCGGAAAATGTTCAATATTTAGGTAATTTCGCTATTGGCTGCACATTCCGGGCAGCTCTGGAGCTGCCTGCAGCTATTCTTGGGGCATAAATCTCAACAGACAGCTCGTGCAAAAGAAGGTGGAGCATTCAACAGACGTCTGACGTGGCTGTGCTTTCTGTCCTTGATCAGTTTCGCACGCTGGTGTGGCACCCATCTGACCATTCAGCTAATCACAGTGGTGCAGGTGAACATTCTTGTCGTCGAAAACACGGGCTTTGACCCCTTTTTCTTGCTATGGAACCTTCGATTACTGAAGTCTCAAAGGAAGTTGCTGGCCGTACTGGTATTAATCCTGGTATTAATCCTCAATTAATACTACAATACCTTCTGTAGTGATTATTTCGGCAGTGCGAAGTTTTTTCAAACACTGGTAACTAGTACATACTACAAACGAAGAACTTTTGAATGTTACCTCCCTACTGGTCAAGTCTGGTAGAATGTCGGCCCTTCTGGCTATTTTGGCATACTGGTGTGGAATTCACAATTGGCCGCACACAACATCACATGTGCAAGAGAGTGTTGCATTCAAATTTCACGAGCATTGGGCTCAAGTCGAGCTGGCGCAGGGCGGCTCGCGGTTCGCCTCATGCAGTTACCAGTCTATTCGGCCATCTAGGATTTCAGCTAGCTGGTAGGACCTAGTGGCAGTACTAAAGGATTCAGCTCATCGATCAGCGTCACAGACACACAGGAAATGGATTGTCGCCCAAAGACCAGCTGCCGTACGAAGGTACAGTCGACTCGTCGAGCTCATTGCACTCTAGGTTTTGGTCTTGACTCTTGATCGCAAAGTGCTGGGCGTCTCTCTTCTGAAATTGCCGCCCCCAGATGTTGCTTCCATTTGTCGTCCTCTTTCCTCAAGGTACGGGTGCCAGTTCATCTATGTCTGCCCACATCCTGGATATCGTCGAACCAAGAATGTCGAGGTCAGCAAGTATGAAGCAGTTGTAGATACGGCATTCTTGCTGAGTCACCCGATATCAGCAGGCTTCCTCAAGCACCATCCTGCAGCTGCAGAATGCCCCTGCCAAGACACAGCTTCCGACTTTTCTACTCTCTTATGCAGGATACATTCTGAGAAGAAAGTCGCTCAATGCAGTTGCTGGGCGTCCATCTCGCTAGCACTGCGAGGACTGCACAAGAATCTTCTGCCACCAGCTGCCCTTACTTTTCGATGACCACTTCTCCACTAAGAGACCGCCCGTCGCTTTCAACCACCCGCCGCAGCACAACAGGTGGTGCGCTTTAGCAGCTTGCAGCTGATCGCATATAGACGCAACGGCGCCTGTCCGCAAGTCTGCGCACGACTATGGCCATAAAAAGATTTGATTTTGGGGGGTCCCCAAACGAGCGCAGCTCGGCGCAGCCCATTCCCATCAAGAAGCCCGCGGCGTCAGATGCCATGGGCGCAAACGGCGTCCAATCGGGAAGCGCCAGCTGGCGCCAGCTGGCGCTTAGCGGGCTGAGCTTGCACCAGCAAATCTTGGCGGCATCACGGCGTTTGCCCCCCCTGCTGGACTTGGACTCGGAGGGAGCGTGTAGGGGGAGTGCCGAGGGGGGGAACGAAGAACTACGGATAGCGGAAGCGATGGATTGTATGAGGGAGTTTGTGCCAAGAGCTGCGCAGCTGGGAAGCGATAAGGTAACTTTCAATCAGCTTGTCTGGTGCATAATGTTTTTCTAACAATGATGTTTGAGTATAGTTATGAGGTCTGCAAGATGTAATGAAGAAGTGTTTTTGCTGATGTTGAATCTTGAGGTGTATTATGCGACACAGGAAGTAAGGCCGTGAGGACTCTCGCTTCTCTGGGCAGTTTGTGAAGAGCTGCCAAAGTTGCCGCATGCTTTGGCACTGGGCTAGGCTGATTGGTGGCTTTTGGATTTTCAAACTCTTCATTATTATCCAACCTGAGCAAGACATGAGAAGTTGAAAAACTGCAAAACCTGAACCAAATGAGTGCACTAAGTGGGAGGAATCGTGAAACGGAAAGGTGTTTGCTGCAAGGGGGAGCAGCCTGAACAGAATTTCCCCTGCACTTGCTGCCATCTCCTTTTGAAGATTACGCACTTTCTTCTGAGAAAGGTTGGGCCTTCCTTTGCCAGGCCCAACCTTTCAATCTGGCTGTACTTCAGTCTTAACACCCGCTGAGCTATTCAGGAATATTGTGATGTTGCCATGATGAGTATTCGGGGAGAATACATTGAGAACTTCGCATTCGCGATGCTGTTTCGCAGAATGCATTGATAGCTGCTCTTCACTTCACCGGTGGTACACTTCGAGAAGCTTTTCAAACATGCGGTTTGTTCAGATACGGACAAGCGCTGACTTCAGAATGATGCGTGCTGACGTCATTCCTTCTCCTCCACAGGCTACGAATATCAGTGGGGGCAGTCCCCCCCAATCTACCTTGGAGCCAGGTGTCACTCCCCCATGCACCCCCGCTCTGCTCCCCTGCAGCCCCACCCCCCGCTGGCAGGTGAGAACAACTTCTGTTTGCATGTGCCTTCTCTTTTTCTGGTTTATATTCAAGCTCTCTCTCTTTTTTGGTCAGGATTGCCTATTCCGTAAGGCAGACAAGCTTGACTAGCAAACCCTTTCTAGCTCCTTACGTCTTCTCAGCTACCGCCCAGAGACTCGCTTCTTTGTCAGGAAGAGGTGGCTTTTGACAGCTCCTGCTTCAGGAAATTAAGGGAACTGGGCCTGCTTTGCATGAAAGTGACAGCTTTACACCACTGTCAGGAGCCTCTACATTCCCAGGTGTTACTTGAAAGCTGATGAAGAGTTGGGCTCTCCTTGAATAATTTTTGAACCCTTGCCCCAGTTATTTAGCTGAGTGAATTGTCCAGGAGCTGAGTGCACTAGCTCGAGTGTCCTGTCAGCCCAGAGCTCTCAGCAAGCAACACGAGCTGTGTTGGAAAGTGATAATTTCAGAAGGTGTGCTGCACTTGGCTACTTGGCCTCTGGGTTCTTTTCACAGGACACCTGGCTCTTGGTTCATTGTCGGACAGCAAAGGGGGTGTCGTTTAATAAGTTCTTCGAAGCTTGATTTCCATTATTCTTAGAGTGTGTCATAGCAAGTGTGTGTTTCGCCCTCTGCCTGGCCTAGAAGGTCTTTTCTAGATCAAAGGACTGCTGGTAATGCTTTTCTTGTAAGTCAAACAGCTGGGGCTGCTCTTTTCTCATGCATGGGCGGCAGAACAGGTGTTGCCTGGTCTGTAAACCCAGCTGGATATGATGACAAGCTACGTTTCTCGGTAAATTGCTTCCACTGGGGCGTAAGTTGTAGGGGGTCCCCTTTGTAACGATGCAAAAGTCGTTGTCTCTCCGAGTTTGTCTGCATCATCAAGTTTGGGACCAGCTCCTCGAATTTGACTCCTGGTCCTCGAAGTGGACTCCCTGGGCTTGAAATGGCCCCTTCTTGTCAACACCTGAAATATGCTGGCGTAAGAAGCTCGCACAAGCTGCATAGAAGTCTCTCCAAGTCCTGGTCCGCTTTCTCTTCATTATTACCTTTTTCAAACCGGCTAAATCTACATCAAGCACTCGTCTTTGACTTGGGTAAAGCTTGTTGATTAAGAGCGTTTGAGACCTCCTCTCCTTTCTTTTCTGACAACCTCAACCTGCTCAAAATCGCTTGAACCTGGTTGATGGGCAAGGCTCCTCCAACAACCCATTCAACCAAGTACACGCCACACTGACTTCGATCGACAGGCTCTCTAGAATTCTTAGCTCAATCAACGGGCTTCTATAAGGAAGGGCCTTACCGTTTGTTAATGCTCGCAGATCATGGGCCCGGCGTCTCCGGGGGGGAACAAGCTGCGCCGGCTGCAAAGCATGGCCGACGTTGCGCACGTGAGGGAGCACTCTTGCTGTCCCGATTTTGGGAGCTCCCCCCGTGAAGAATTCCAAGTGCCCACCAGAAGCTCCAGCCTGGACTCCGCCCACAAGACAGCCGGCGACTCGAGTCCGAGCGACGGGTTCCTGAAGAGAGTGCGCTTGTATGAGGAGGTGAGAAGCTGGGAGCCCGCTGCTTTTGAGGCTCGATCAATTTCCAGTCTTTGCTTTGCGGCCTATTGTCTGGATTATCCACTTTTGATTGGTCATAAAGAGGGGCCGGTGGCTGCTCTATTGTCAAAATATAACAGCCCTACAGCACGGAAGCTGTAAATTTTCTTTCAATGATCTGGTCGGTCGGTTCGTGCTTGACACGGCATGCCGACATGGGTTTGGGGGGGAAATGAAGAACAGCAAGGGTTTTCGTTGGAACCTCTGTCAAATGCCCTTCAGGAGGTGTTCAGATGGCTTCTCGACTTTGTTGATCTGATCATTCTGCAAACTCCGGCCTTCTTGGTAAACCCCTCCTTCCTACTCAGTTTTCGCCCTCCTGTCTTCCATCAAACCCTTTCTGCCTCTCTTCCCCTCTATTTGCAAGTTTCTGCATTGGTCTTTCCCCGTCCAAACCGCTTACGTAATCAGTATCTCCCCCCCACAGACCGCTCACTCCGGCAGCCTTTTCCTCACAGCTCACTGGATCGGGTATGCCCTCCTTTAAATCGCTGATTGAATCAGTCCCAACCCTCTTCAACCGCTCATTTCATCATTCTTTCCTTTCTTCACCAGACATCTCACTCGATTCGTCTTGCCCCGTCCAGATCCGTTGCTCCGCCTGCGACGCTCTCTTCGATTGCCCGGAATCCCTCCAGCTGCACCAGCCCACGTGCATACACCGTGACGTGACTTGCGAGCTGTGCGGGCAGGCCCGCCCACTGCGCCAGCTGGCAGCCCACGTGCAGAGGGAGTGCCCTCACGCCCAAGTGGCGTGCCCCAAGGACGGGTGCGCCTGGAAGGGCCACCGGGAGTTCCTTAAGGTACGGGACACGTGTCGTCATTTTGTTGTCCGGAAAGATTATCTCACTCATGGAAAAGCCGTTCGTTTTGGTCAATAGATTGTTCCTTCAAGGTTTATGAGAGCGACGCTGTTGAGGAGGTTGTTCTCATCTATCTTTGGCGAGACCAGTTTTCAAACTTTAGAGCCGAGTATGGACTTGCTCGAGATTCTGATAGCAATTTTGCTTCATGCAAATCCCCGTCTCGTTGCACAACCTCGGTTGCCGTCCAGGTCCTGTTGCAAATCACCGATAAAACGAAGATACGATTCGACTTTGCGCAGTCCGTTGAAAAGCTCTTACACCGAAAGCCAGCAGATTTGGACATTGCAGTGTGCTTTTTTTGCTCGAGATAGTACCCACGTTTTCATGACGTCAGCGCCGCTTGCGTCACACCGTCTGAGGTCTCGATGTCTGACGTCATGCGCCTGTCGCTTCCGTCGCGCAGACGCATCTCAACGAGGTTTGCGCCTTTGCGGTCGTCCCGTGCCCCTTCGCTGGGAGCGGGTGCCCGGCACGCGTGACACGTGGCAAGCTGGGAGACCACCTGACCGATGACATCACGAACCACTTGCTGCTGGTAAATTTCGCAACTCGGCTGTGCAACTAGACCGTCTTCTCTTGCGAACTTTCTGGTCAATTGTGCACTCTTATTCATCTCGTATGCGCAGGCTGTTTTAGTTCACGAAAACCCGACGCTTTCAAGAGTATTTATTAAGCCAAGAGCCTGTCTGGGCTGTAGGTCGAACGGAGTATTGTGGGAAGTACCGGAGATATTGCAATAGTAGCCCAATCATTCTTGCTGTAATCTGTCGCCCAAGCCTTTTCTGTACGGCAATCAGCCCACCAAATCCCGTTCGGGCTACCAAACAACAGCCGTTTTCTCAAGTGTGCCGCTCCTTGCACCTGTCGACCATGCAACCGCTCACTCTGATCTCGCTGTTTGTTGCTTGCTTGGCCCCGACCATTTCCTTAGCCGTACACTCTGACTGACTATTCAGTAGCCCTCGCGCGCTATTTCCTTCACCGGTCAGACTCCGTCCCCTGGTTTTCAGCGTGCGTCCGTTGCCGTTTGCTCGCTTTCTTTCGACTTCGTTTCTCTCTGCACTTATGCGTCCCTTAATCGCCCCCGCGCGCTTTCCCCGCAGGTCGCGCACGAGAACGCGCAGCTGCGCGTGCGCCTTCACCAGATGGGCGCCGCCCAAACCCTGATCCAAACCCGCGTAGATAACCTCGAGACGGTGGTCCTGGTCGACCACGAGGAGGACGACACGGACGACGCCGCGTCCGAAGGCTCGTCAGCATGACGTCAGCGCCGAGATAAAAATCCAAACCCCAAACCCCGCCCCTCAAAACCTATTAACCCGAGTGCCAGAACCAAGCTTGCAACTCTTCGAAGCCTCATTTTTCGTAGCTCCCACAGCCCTCCACATGGGCATCTCTGAGTTCCGAAGCTGTCCTTGGAATCCGACGGCGAAACCCTTAACCCGACACCCCTAACCGGCAACCCTTTATCTCAGTCCCCCGGGAGCTCCGGCCGGTGGCACGTGGCAACGCGCCGGTTTTGATCCCAGTCAACGTCACCAGAGGAAAGCTGTATCGTATCGTGTGGTTTGTACATAGATGCCACGTGGTCTCCGATGGATAGGACAGGTTGTAAACGTATCCGTCGGCTGTCGGCATACTAAATAGACGTCAAATGTCCGGTTATAGAGTTTTGCGCCGATGATGATCTCCGGGAATGTCGTTAGAAAAGATAGACGGTTCGAGGGAGAATCTAGCTGTAGGTGTGAGTTCCCGGGTACTGGTGAGGTGTATATACACCGAATAGAGCAAGGAGGTTTCGCAGAGTAGGACCGCTAGTCGCCAATTGTAAGATCGGAGCGGCAGCGAAACAGAGATTGACGCCTGAGAAACTGTGAGGCTGCAGCCACACACTGAAGTCAAGGGAGACGCGGGTAGCGTGTATTCGTTGCACAAAACTTTGCTTATGAGGATGACTGCTTGTTCAATAAAGTACTGAAGACCTCAATGCAGAAAGTTTAGGAGAGTAATATCTATAGGTCCGAAGTCGAGTCAAAGTGATACCACAAACTTATGCGACTGGAGCAAACTCACTTGGTGTAGATTCGTCAACCTTGTGTCAACAAATGAGACGGTTGGTGTAACACCTATTCGCCCCTATGCGATGGAGCTGTCGACTGATCGAGTGGTTCGCTTCACTCACGGGCTGGTATTTAAGGCGTATACTGCCGCCATGGAGATGTTTACTGCGTGGTTCTATCAAAGCTGGCATGCTATACTAAAGAGATCCGCTTCTCAAACGGTGTGCTTGCTTGACGGTCTGGACATTACATGCGAACTCTATTTTGAATCGGGCGCTGCACATTTAACGCCAAGGTCGGACGCTACTGAAATGCAAAAGCTCGTGTCTAATGCACGCCTTTGAGCCGTGCACTCCTAATGATACTCATTGTGAGTCTGATCGATGCCAACAAATGTATAGTGACTAAGTTATGCAGCGGCCGCTTTGCATATGTGTCGCCCTAGATCAACAATAACTGCAACAGCTGCATTATAATAGCGGCACGAACGCCGATCATATGAGCTAGACGCGAAACAGGCACACTCAATCAACTTCCTGAGATATCTTACCAGGCAGGACTTGGGAGGCTGCCAAAGATGCCAAATGATCACCCAATGTTGAAAGGACACCACACACATTTGTCGCCACAGGGCATTCCACATTCGATATGGAGCACTAGCACAAAAACGTATGGCATCCTTATGCATCGTCACGGTTTCCTTTTTGCAGCATGCCATCAAGGGCCGCCTGCACTGAGTAGATCGCCGACACGCAGTCTATCTTACTAGTTGTAATCCGGCGACTCAAAATTATCAGAGTGCAGAAGCCCACCACTCATACGTGCATTTAAAGCTTGGAGGTTGTGTGCATGATACTAACGTCCAGTAACTTTCGCTCGACCGTTTCTGCTACTAACTACTAGCTGATTGGGCCCTTGAGTACAATATCGATCATCGAGCCAACTGATAGTGGAATGAAACCTGGATGGCGACGGCGATAAAAGCTCACATGATACTAGGATACATACATGATCCTTACTCTTTGCTTATACATATTTGCGATTCTCTAGTAGCGTCCACAGTCACTTAATATCGAGCTTTCATTCATGATACTACTGCTAGCAAAATCCAAGCACATTGCTAATTGAACCTTAATAAAAATTGAGAGACTGTCGGAAGCGTCGGTAAGGTGTACATGACGAACGTTTGGTAGGTGGGAGCACACTAGACGAGCAATTGAACTCAGGAGTAGCGCGCGAAAGAACCCAGACCACATATGTACGCAGGCATGATGAGAACCCTATGGTCTAGTTGGCTACAGCGAGAAGGAAAAGTGACCATATTCCGATCGTCGACCGTTCGGACCATCATGTAACATTGCTTATCTATATCAATGCTGCGCCTGGGTGCTCGGGTGCTCGACAAATCAGTTGGGACCTACACCAGCCGTGTCCATGCAAAACTTGAAAATGTGAGTAGGAAAGACCCTAGTATATATCAAACGGTACGGTTAAAACCTTGCAGAAAGGCCGCTGGCATCCTGGAACTCCTGGACTCGAAAGGCGGCACCTGGGAGTCGAATGGGCACTGCTTGCAGTGCTCCCGGTGGTGCCAGCTGGCAGATCCTGAATCCTGACGACTAGATTGTATGCATGGTCAAACCTCCACTTGCCGACCGTAGTACCGGCAAGACCCCGGCAGAAAGGTGGTCGGGTTCGCTGAGACAACACCGAATACCGGCATCACACAGACGGTGCATAGTCCCGGGCACTGCTCGAGTGAGCTTGCACTCGACGGTCTGCACTGTGCACGTGCTGCATGCGCACTCGGTAGACTCACAGTTGAGGCATTGTAAATTGACCCAATTTTACGAAACAGTTAACCCGAGGGTTAATGCAGATTAACTGCTGGTCGACGCGCTTAGCCGGTACTCGCTCAAAAGTCAGGAGTCAGCACTGAGCGGACGTCACCGGTCGGCCGGCGATTGGGTTCAAACTCAATTTCGTACTTTAGCGACTTTTCCGGCGCCTCCGACGAAGGCGGCCGGTTGCGTCACCGAGACGGCGCTGATGTCGCCGGTAGCGTGCGTGGCCCGATTGATGACCAGAGAAGATGCACGGTGGCATGCGCGGCTTCGCCTGAGAACTCGGCTGTGAGGGCTTCAAGCTTCATGGACTTGGCGTGGAGCGCATGCAAACCATAAGCGATCCTCTTTGGGTGAGGGCTGCACATCCTCAGCCCCACTGAGACATAACGCGTTTTTTGCATCTGCCTTTTCAATCGTCAACCAACTGTTATTCTACTAGTGTAGCTGGTAATCCACTACCGTATCTCTACCTGCAGACACCTTGCAGATATTGAGGAATCAGTACAGAATCATTGTAGATTTGTAGACGTTTGCGTCTGATCGGCCTGCCTGCCGGCGTCAATCGCTGGCTGCATGCTTCTTCGACTTGAACACATATACGTTCGGCTGAGCGCATCATGTTTCTTCTAAACGGTCCTAGCATCCAGAATGATTGCAGTTTAAATGCCAGCTGACTAGGTAGGTATGTGGCAGAGTCACAGCAATGCGACAGCCTGCCCTATCATCATAGCGGCGCTAGCACTTTCAGCTCTGGTTCATGATCGCGTGTCAGACAAGCTGGCCACATGAACAATGATAAGTGGGGCATGCAGCAACTACCGACGTCAGAGAGCGACAGAGAAAGTCCTCAGCTCGCTTGCAGGTCGCCAGAGAGCTCACGTCAGCACTCAGTTAATGCTGCGCCCGGATCGCAATGGGCCTGGTTGCACCCTCCAGGCACCTCCCATGAGCTTCATCACCTTAAGTATCTACCTATCAAACATTCTCAGGATATTCTTAGCGAGGTGCCGCAGCGCTAGCTGGCACTTGCAGTGGCGGCCGCCGCGGATCTTAACCACTTAGCCAGAATCATTTGATTTGTTGCGTGAGCGCCAGAGCTGGCGCAGAGCCCAGCTCGGATTGGATTTCAGTCCTCATGCGCTAAGATACATTGAGCAGGCCAGCTCACTCAGTGAAGACAGGGGCAACCCCGTTCTTTCTTCCTCAGGTCCCGCCACTGGCTGTAAGCACTCTGACGTTCTTTGAGCAAAACCCAAAGCATTACAGTAGCTTGTGGCGGATGCAAGTGGAAGGGAGTGTTGCGGAACTTTCATGCTGCAGGCTGATCCTAGTAGCTGAGCAAAAGGCCAACCCCCTCCCTTCCAGTCAGTACGCAATGTCGTTTGAAAGAGCCTGACCTCAGAGTCTGATTTTCGCCCATCAGAAGGTGGTCTTGAACAAGAATGAGGAGTTGAACCTCACCGATGAGGAGTTGAACCTCACCGATTCTTCCGAAGTCCTGGCAGCTGCTTAGCAACACGTCGCCCCCCCTTCCCTTTCCCCTCCAAAACCCTCTACGATTCTTCAGCGCGCCCTCGATTCAGCGACTGCGGGTTGCCATTCTCATTCCTAGCGATGCGCATCTGTGCAGTATCAGTGCTTGCCTTTCGAAAAAAGGTAAGTTAGGGCTGTTTCTGAGGGCAGCCCCCCAGTCAAGTCAGCGTAGATAGCGAACAGCGCACGGCCAGAAAGACCTCCAGAACGTCCAACACTCAATGGCGATCATGAGGTTGCAGTTTGAGGAGTCCCCTCCGGAGCGCGCCTCATCGCAGCCTATGCCCATTAATGGGAAGGCGGCTGAACCCCACGTCAGCTCGGACGGCGTCCACTCATGCGCCGCCAGCTGGCGCCAGCTGGCGTGTAATGGGCTGAGCCTGCATCAGCGGATTGTGGGGGGGGCGCAACGGATGCCTCCAAAGCTGAACCTGGATGCCACAACGGAGGGTGAGGGGAGTGCTCTAGATGGGGGTGACGACATCATGGGGGTTGGCAGGGGGGGGGGCAAAGATCAGCTGATGGCTGAGGCGCTGGGCTGCCTCAATGGAACGGTGCCTGTAGAGGTCTGGCCGGACGGACAAAAGGTGAGCAATCAGAATTTGAACTGTTTTTTTGTGGTTACGTTCTGCTGACCCAAAAGTGTAAATCTGGAGGAAGATTGCAAGAACACCTGAAATCTGCTGATGGGGCCTACAGTGGGGGCTGCTTGACTTTGTGCAGATTGAGACCAGTGTGAGAGTGATCCCCCAATTCCAGTATCCAACCTTTGAACAAGGAGATGGACAAAAAGATGCTCTGCTAAATCGAAAGGGCGGCTGGTTTTCAATGCAATTGACAATGGAACTCAGTAGTCCTTGAACGGGGTTGTGGGGCGGGCTCCTTACACCTGTTGGTCAGGAGATTGGTACTGATCAGAAGACCTGCAAATGCATGATTTGTGTGCCCGTCTGTGGAAACCAAAACTCTGCAAGGTACAAGGAAGTTTCCTCGTGTAGATTATCAGCCCCCTTGCTGAAAGAATCGACTTTCTTCAAGAAAGCCTAGATCCGGGAGATACAGGTCAGTGTGTGTTACCCACCATGTGGACTAAGATCCTCGTTGCACAGACGATTGGGGATCGTATCCTGCATCACCTCATGCTACTTCATGCGCTTTGCGCGTCTCCCACAGCAGCTCAAAGAAGGTTCTTAACTTAACCCACTGTCCGGCTTGAGAATGTTTGATGTCACTCTGACGTGTGCTGACGTCATCCTTGTCCTCGATAGGCTGCGGAGACGAGCTGGGACACCCCTACTACGATTACGATGTCCGAATCGGACCCTGGCGTCACTCCCCCATGCACACCGGGTCAGCCCACAAGCAGCCCCGGCTCCCCATGCCCCTCTGTATCACGGACCCCGGTAAGACTTGCTCACTGCTGCTTTTTCCGGGTTTTAATCTGATCGCCCCTCATCCCCCCAGGCTTTCCTTTCCTCCCACTACTAGATTAAATGCTTTTTTTCCGCAAATTCTTCAAACATTTTAATGAATTTCATTCGCACTCTCCCCCTGAAGCCTCTTCTTGGTGCTCTTCTTGGGCGAACTCTGTTGGCAGCCCAAACATTCGAATCCGCTTTTCTTGTCAGCTCCGTTATTTAGAGACGTAGGAACGGAGCCAGCTTTTACAGAGTGGCTTTGGTCTTACCCCTCTTTGATTGCTGTCATAATGTCCCTTGAGCTGCAAAGGTATCACCTTTTTGGTGCTTGAAATATCCGTGTTCCACTGCCCTTTCTGGACTCTATGGGAACATTGGCTGGGGCTTGAAGCTCTCTTTGAATACTCGGAGCGGACCAACACTTCCACGTACGGGGAAAGCTTTTCACGAACAAGACAATGAAGCTCTTACGTCAACTTCGAAACCTCTTGAAGCCACCATTCTTCTTTCACTTCACTCTTCACCTCGTGACGGATTAAGCCAAGAACATTTGATTCTTCTAATGCAAGGCTCCTCCACACCTTTCATCCATACTCAAGTTAATTAAACTGTCTCCAGGGATCCAAGAACGAATCGAATTCGTTTATCCGTCAGTCAGAGGTGTTCCCGAATCAAAAATGCCCCAGACGCTCGTTTTACCACCGACTTTCTACCCAAGTAAAGCTGTGGGGGTAATGCTGGAGAGATCATTCATCTCGGCGCTCGCTTGGGGTTTATGGCTCGCTTCCGAGGCAGCCGCGAGCACTCGTATACGTGCACGAGATGCGCATGGAACAAGGCAAAAGCTCATCCCATTCTGTCTTGCAGTGCCTGGCTTTCGAGACGCTCGGGGCGCCCCCAGGCGCTGAGGGGGAAGTTTGCTGCGAGCTGTGCGGGCGCACCCATCCGGCGCGCCAGCTGGCAGCCCACATCCTGCGGCAGTGCGCGAACGTCGACGTGGCGTGCCCGAAGCCGAACTGCGGATGGAAGGGCCGCCGGATGTTCCTCAAGGTACGGTCTTGGCATTTCTTGATGGATGGATCAGTAGGCTGCATAGTTCTGTTTATGAGAATTTGAAGTTGGTGGGTTGATCGATTCGGACAGTGTGACCTGGGTTGAAAGGCCCGCCGGAGTTCCCTAGGTACGTTTTGGGTTTACGTTGCATTGCTCAGGTTGCTCACCGTCACTTCCTAGACAGCATGGTTATTTGACCTTGGGGCTTTGACTTATGCTACAAAAAGGACTCAATGCCGGTTGAAGGGCCGCTGGGGAATTCCAAAACCGGCGTGCCGGAGTTGGATGTTTCACAAGTGAGGTCTTGCTACTCTGTGGATCTTTAAAGTCGGTCTATCATTCCAGTTTACCATACTCGTCTCAGAATACGTTGGCTGCAGATTGAAGCAAGAAACGAGATTCTGGAGTTGCCGTGACATTCAAATCAAGCCTCGAGACGCCACTTTGGATCTGCCGAGAAGCCAGAGGTGCCCCCTTTTTGCTTCGTACTTTTCTAAAGTCCTGACGTCAAGCTTTCGTCATGCAGACGCACCTGAGCGAGGTCTGCGCCTTTGTCGTCGTCCCGTGCTCCTTCGCCGCCAGCGGTTGCCCCGCGCGCGTGCCACGTGGCAAGCTGAAGAGCCACCTCATTGAAGACATCGGAAATCACTTGCTTCTGGTGAGGCGGGGAGATCTTGTTGGTACTCCTGCTGCTTTGGCAAGGCTGGCAGATATATCAAACGAGGAATATTGCTCATCATTGACGGGCGTACTAGCAGTATTCGCTTCCGCTCACGAACGCTTAATTGAGCTTCCTTTTTTGAGTTGTCTTCTTTGAAGACTGAAAGTGCGTCTACGGAGAAATCCGAAGATTTTTCCTTGCGTTTCTGCATTCCTTTGTTATCAGGAACAGGGTGTTTCGTTTCGACCCACTTATGAACGTCGCCGACTAAACTTATACCAATCCGCTCGACTTACTGAATTGACATCTCTTATACTCGACCTTAAACTCCGTCGCCTCTATACCGTTTACGCCCGACTACATCGTAAAGCATGAGACGTTAAGAATCAATTCGCAGGATTGTCCACCCGCACTAGATGCCGCCAGATTCATTTCAAAAGTGAGGTCCGTCAAATGCCAGTTGCGAAGAGCTGAAGCTAAATTCGAGCCAGATTCCAGTGTCGTTTTCTCCTCTCGCGGGAAAGACATCCACAGCTTGGCATTGAAGGGAAGAATTCCAAGTCTGACCACGACTAAAAATCAAGAGGCGATTGGACCATTCAGCTCAGCGAAACAAATACCACGTCTGATTTTTGCCCAGGTTTTTCCGCCGCAGGTTGAGCTGTTGGCCTGTGCTTCGTTGCTTGCATTGAAACACACATCCAACCTTATGTTTTTCTTTGTTGATGCTCCGATTCAGAGGAGTTTCGAACAGCTTTTTTTTTTTATGCGGTTCGACGTCAGGCCCTAAGACCCCCCGCAGGTCGCCCACGAGAACTCGCAGCTGCGCGCGCGCCTTCACAGGATGGGTTCCGCCCAAACCCTGCTCCAAACCCGCGTCGATAACCTCGAGACAGTGGTCCTGGTCGACCACGAGGAGGACGACGCCGCGGACGCTGCCGCGTCTGAAGGCTCGTCAGCATGAGGTCAGCTTGTTTTCCATGACGTCAGCGCGTGGTCTGGGTGCGCGAAGCTTTTGCACAGTCAGAAGGCTCGTGCCATTTCGTGGCCGACAAGACCCCTTCCTCGAATCCCCCGCGGCTGATAACTCAGAGCCGGACGGTAGTCATACAGTGGGTTGTAGATAAGTGCCACGTGGCACCAAAAGTAGAGAGATTTCTCAGATGCTGGCCCGTTTGCATGTCGTCAAAAGGTCCTCGCTCGGAAGCATACATCACTGGCCGCCCGCGTATACTATGTACCATACGATCTGACCATTGCTTCCGGGAGTGCGAAACATTCTAGGAAACTTCCAATAGGAGAGAGTCCAGTGATACCAGTTGAAAAAAACAGAACGGCAGATTGGGCGCGTAGCTGCCACCCGTCCGCAAGTGATCATAAATCGTTCGGAACAGCACCGCTTTGAGACTTCAGAGAACGCGCAAACTAGTTTTCAATGTCCGCCACATCATGCAGTGGGGTGTAAAGTAGTAGTAAAGGTAGATCGACAAAGTATTTTGGCCGATTTGTACACTGCACGAGATCGAAGCTTCTTTCAAGGAAGTCGAGGACGATAAAAAGTCATTTTCCTGGTCAGGAAGAAACTTGACACGTTGCATAGGGCAGTGGGCCGCTCGCGAATCGGGTCAGAGCCCGACTGTAACATTGAACAGAGAAATTCAGTCTGAAATCCCATCTGAAGCATTGCATTGAATTGTCATTCGTACGTTCAAATTTTCAGTGGCAATTTGAGACGGATTGTCAACGCAGCCGGCAATGTTTCGCCTCTGCAATGAGTCGCGTCAGTTACTTCAAGTTCAGCCAGCGCGGCCTCTTTTGGTTGCGCTGGGTATCGTAGCTGGTCAAAATTGACTCTTGTCATGAAAACCATACCTTTGAGCTCTTGCGCCAAGTGAGACGTACCAGAAAGTTTGCTACCCCTATAGCCACAAGGTCTCCAATCCACGGTGATCACTGATTGGTCGACGTTATAGCGTATTGCGACGATTCCTGCAAGGAATCGACTATGACTTGAATCTCGTTAAGGTATATTGGTGGGCTGCTTACGGCTTACACCGACGCCAATGCCAGTGGTTGAACTGCCGACTGGTTGGTCCACTCGGGTGGATTGCAATTGCACCCTGGCTGGAACGTCTTTCCGAAACGCTGTCGACGTAGATTAGAAGGAGAAACCTACTGCAACCGGCATTTGCCCCTTCATGCAAATGAACCTACGCAGTGAACACAAGCTAACACGTTTACGTACAAGGATGACAACACGATTTATGTATGACTGATATGGGCTGCTGATCATTGAAGGATCTTTGAAGTACGTCGTCCTGCCTGATAGAACGTCTCGTTGGACTTTCTCATTGACAGAGCAGGCCCCCGGATTGAAGTGGCTGCGACCTGCTCCTATTTTCTAAGAATCAAGTCGCCCGTACGCCTTTCTTGGGCTGCAGCGTGGCCGTGCTGCCAAGCCGCGCGCGCGTTTGCGGTGACAGTGACACCGTCGCAAAACCCAGCCGCGCGCACGCTGATCAATGCGGCGCGCGCGCGCTTGATATCAACCCTGCGCCCTCAGTGAACTGGGGGCCGCGCGTGCCGGCTAGTGCCGGCGGCCGCTAGCTTAGTATGACGTACTTCCGAACATAAACCCGCCAGCGCGGCCGCCACCCTTGCCGCGCGACGCGCGTGCGGAATATTCGCCCAGCCGCTCATGCAGCGCGCATAGCCAGTCCGGGTTGAGACAGCTCAATATTTGTGGCGGCACTAATGTAGTGTGTGCCCGGCCTTAGGTGAAGACCAGAGCAAGGTTGAGGAACAAACACGTGCAGGGACGTGAAAGGCTGGAAGGACATTGCCCCACACTTTGTGGCCTTTGACCCCGGAGGCTGCTTCTTCTATTGAGCGTGGGTCAGTCGATCACATACTTTGCTCTAACCTTTTCAGAAACTGTTTCGCTTTTGCTCCAAAGCACGGCCCGACGAGTCCTCTGTGAGATCTTGCTCCTTAGACTATAGGAACTCTGCAAGGAGCGACGTCTTCGCTTCAGATTGTGAGGCGGACCTGCTCAGCTGGGTTTCCCTGCGATTAGACCCATTGATAACCCATTTTCGCGATTGAAACAACATCAATGAACTCAAGACGGAACCCTGCTTCTTAAATTGTAGGGACGCATATGCTCAATTGGGTCATTAAGGTCCTGCTATCTATGCGCCCACTCCGCTCAACCTGCCCTTAGAAGCCAAGTTTTGAATCCATCACAAAGCTAACGTCACGGTTTCACAATTACTTGTGAAGTACAAAGACTCCCGTTTTGAGGCCAGTACCCTCCCCCAATCCGATCTTTATCGTTTAACCGCAACAGACGGAGCCCACTGTTTCAGACGAATTCGTTCAAGTGCCAAATACTGATGACCCCCTCCGGTCTTTGAGCAATCGCCAAAATGGTTTCGGCTTTTTGTTCTGATGCAGCGTTTGCAGTACATATGGCGGCCACGCTGGGCTGCAAGTTTCACGAACTTGCAGAGAAGATAGAAAACGCCCAAGACCCTGAAAGGTTGCGCATTCATAAGCGGCATCAAAGCGTCATTGAGGCGCGGGCGAATCTGCACGCAGAAGCAGGGGTCGAATTTTACAAGTGTTTCTCCCGCTTCAAAGACCAGGTGGACGACTACAGTAAGACCATCGACCCGGAAGATGATAGATTTCGAGGGCGGTAATGTTTGTCACAACTTTTCTAGGCGCCATGAAAAGTTCATGGCTTTGGAAAGAGCATATGCATATGCCGAAGCATGGAAACCTCTTGTTTCTGACTCTGAGGCTTATACCTGTTGCACAAGGAAGAAAGCAAGTTCTCAGATGCTAGCCCTTCAGAGCGGGCTGCTTGACAGTGTCACAGTCCGCTCCGGCTAACGGACACACTCGAAACTGACCCTTTTTGTCGGAACGACGCTCTTCCGCCTTGCTGATTCACTCGAGTCTTGGTTGCAGCCGATCATGACCTCCTCGTTCAGCCACGCGTCAGCCCCCATCCTTGCCACGTGGAGCCAAAGTGGAGCATCTCAGGCAACAGCCGCTTGGTAGTTGAGCTGGACCCAAAAGTGGCGGCAGCCAATAGTGTTCAGGAAGCTGGAACCGATCCTCCGTACGTCACTTTTATCAGAGATTCCTGGCGACCTGTGACGCCTCCAAAAGGAGGGACTACACGGCAGAAATATCGGTCTCCACAGATGCAATTCTGGTGGGTTCTTCGACTTTTTGCTCTTGCGTTGAACTTTATGGAGGCGGGAACTGCCTCTGACTTCTGTAAGACCAAGCCAGATCCTTCCGACACATTACAACTTTGTAAGAATCTTACAGACTATCGTCTTCGGAAGAAAACCCGTTCTATTGCTGAACAGATATTGTATTACCTGCAAACTGCCCAAGAATCCCTTTTCCGTTAAGTGCGGAGCTCTGTCCTAGAACGCTTATCTACTGAAGACGACGTAATGCGGTTCCATCTAAAAGCCTTCTACCCATGCCGATCTAGCTGACCATCATACAAGAGAGGCGGGACTGAGCAATGTACGTTGTACGTGCAATTTCATACGGAGACTTTCTTGCCTGACACCTTCGCAACTCTCTTTCCTTTGCAGGCAGGAGACAGGACTCGCAGAAGTGAATGACTCCCCTAGGATTGGCCCACGCCCCGGTGACTACTGTCACCCCGCCCGGCAATACGAGTCGCTTTACCTGAACCAAACCGCCTCGGCGCCATACGCTATGTACCGCATGCTGTGCCTCTTCCCATGGCTCGTGTCGGAGTGGCGGCCCTGCGACTACTACAAGCGACTGTGGTACTTCATAGTCGAGCACAAGGAGACGGGCTTCGAGTTTGAGTTGACGGAGCACAAGGGGTCCCTGCACGCCTATGTAGGTTTTCCAACTCGACTCCTTTTCTTCCTTCCACTTCTGCGCTCTGTCTTTGTCAAGATGACTGTCCTCACTCTGCACCCTAGATCCGGGATTTGCTTCTCAAGTATCCTTGTTCTCGTGCTTTCACCGCATACATCAAAGCATCGTTGCAGTAGCGAAACCCCTTTCTTAGAAGTCCAGTTTTCCTCTCTGCAAAAATCGCGCCAATCTGTAACCCAGATATCCGCTGTAGTGACAACATTAAGAAGACGCAAACCAATGCTTCACTGCAACGGAATCAAGTGGAAAATTACGTTCTCCACTCAGCAGCAAGTAACGTGCAAGCTCTCATGCTTCTCTGCAATTAGATTGACTAGCTGAAGCGTTCCGACTCCCCTCTCAGCAAAACCTCCAAACGGTACTAGATGCTCAAGAACCTGCTTCATTTAACCCACCAAGAAGACGCAAGTGAATGATCTCCTGCAACCAGATTGAGTTGAATCCGGACAGCCCCTGGGCCGACTGCCTCAAGAGCGAGGCATGCGCTCTGCTGGAGCTGATCTTGTCGGATGCCTGCCGTCACCCGTGCGGCGTCCCGGCCGGCAGCGTCGATCCTGTCGTCTTCGTTCCGTACAACGAAGAAGACCCGACGAAGGTGAGACTTGAAAGTACGAGGACCGTGATGACTTTACGGTTGTTGATTTGCTATCGGAGAGTCACGTTACCCGAGAATCTTTCCCCTCGCTCGAGCGGCACGCGCGCAATCACCCCACAAGATGCGTGTTGAGCTGGCCATGCGAGAATTTGTTAGGCGATTCAAGCAGGGAGATGCTTCCTTGCTGTTCAACACCTGGATGAGCCGAGAAAACACATTGCGGCTCTCTTGATTCTCTGATGTAGTTGCTCTCCAATTTTTGACATCATGCCCGTGAGTTCTCTAGACATCTGCCCGGTGGCTCCTGCCCGGCGTTTCGGGATTCAGTTACTACCAGACATTTATGACCGTGATTACTCATGACCCGCCCTGGTCATAAGCATCTGATCGATCGTAGATGGCCTCAAAGAGGGGCTTCAGCCGAGGTCTGGTCGGAACGAGCCTTTTCTCACAGGCTGAAGATTTGGATGTGAACAGAGTGGGTAACCAGACTTGAGTCTGAAGCTTGATCTATAATCGGTCTTTAACCATTTTAAAAGTCGAGTCACTGCTCCAGTCTGGTCGTCGGACATCGAACCAGATTCTAACCAGCCCTTAACCGACCATGCTTCACCGCCAGCAATTCCAGCGGTCTACGACGCGCAATTCCAGCGGTATGTTGTCGACCCTAGAAACGCAGGCCTCCAGCACGCGTCGCAGGAAGACTGCGACAACATCGTTCGGGTGCGTGAGCGCTGGAGGACGGTTCCAGAGCCGGACACGTAAGTTTCAATCTGGTCGGTCACTCAAACGTCAGGACTCTTGCTTTCGTCGCTTTTAGAGAACACTGGTTCGCGAGCAATTAGTTTGCCCGACGACAAGTGGCGCGCTTTTGTTTTCCACGCCCCGAGCACCATCTTCTTACAAGCTTCTGACAGGGCCACAGCGACACAGCTAACACTCTTATATCCGCCAGGACTCGAGCCGGAATCTCAGGCGCGGCGGAATCTGCTAACAGCAGCGATATATAAGTAAACCTTACGCAAACGCTCTGATACCAAAAAGTCGTAACCAATTGGGATGATCAGGGGCGTAAATCGTAGAAATCCAAAGTCGATTTGTTCAGCTTGATGCGACGGTCCCTCCAGTAAGATCCAGTGAAGACGTCCAAACGTCAGGGTCGATCGAGGAAATGAATCGTTTATCGAAAGCTTGTAGGAACTCAGTACCGGTTCGAAGCTTGTGAAATGATCGTCCAAGCGGGGCTGTAACGTCAGGCGATTAGCCGAACTCTAGCTTGAGCGACGGAAGCAATTGATCAGAACCTTTGGATGGCCAGCTGGTGAAGGGCAAAATTCGTCAGTGCGTCACAAAAGAAGCTCAAGTCTAGTACACGGAAACCGTTTTCACCTGCTTGTATGGATGCAGATCTGAGCGAACTTACCGGGAAAGCCTCACGATCACCGTGGATCCGCCGTCTAGAATGGTCTGCATCCTTGAACTAGAGCAAACTCTTCAAGGCGCCCCATTCGAGCGTGGGTTATGTGGACAGGTAAGTTTACATTTTCAGCGCTTAGAGACCTTTGAGATCCTTTGGCACTTTGATCTCTTCGTCTCGTTCAACCATGTTGAGCAGTACCATGCTCGATCCGGCCGGCGAAACCGCAATCTGAATCACGCACCTCCTCGAACACGTCCGTCAACGGGAACTACTGTTTCTTTTCCATGTTCTTCGCTGATTCTGTCAGCAACAATGTTTGTCAACGATCAAGAGAAGTCAAGACCTCTGTGTTTTTGCGCACAAGTCCCACGGATCCCTACAGGCAGGGAAAGAGAGACAGTTGCCACGAAGTCGTCCGTATCGAATCAAATCCTTATCGGTCAGTCAACCAAGTCATGTTCCTGAAGCTTTGGCCCACCGTCACTTCTGCGGACTATAGCCTCGAAAGGACTCTCCTAATTATCTAGCACATCTGCTCAGGTATCGTTCATCAAGCAGAGCGGAGGCAAAATGGTTCCCCTGTGCGCGGCTATCTCCTCGGGGCTCTTCCTTTACCGTCTGATCTCCATCTTCACACACGACATGATGTTTGACAGCTGTGATTTCGCCCCAAACCGATCCCTGGCCGACCTGCCCAAATTCATAAACCCCCCAAACCCCGCGAACTCGCTCTGGTATACGGAGATTGCTCACGTGGCGACCGGGCACGTGGTGCGCGTCGGCGAGTTCCGCGGGGCCACGACGGTGTGGAGCGTGAGCGGAACGGATTCGTTGACAACGGAAACGGAAGTGGCGGCTGTCAAAGAGGACCTTGAGTGGCTGCTGGCGCTAGTCTGCGGCCGGTGTCCGCACACGTACGATGGGGTCCTGGCGGGATGCCACGCGTAATGAATGACGGAAGTAGACGTCGGCCCGGGACGATAAAGAGCAAAAACGACGGTTTCATCCAGAAATGTTGTCCTGGAAATCATGCCGCTTCTGTAACCGAGACGGCCATCAATCATGATGCATTCTGCGACTCAGGCAAAGAAATCATGAAACGGTTTGCCCATGTATGTCCTCTTATTGCCGATTCTAGTCGCACGGCATGAGCTGACACTAGCTTCCAACTTTTTTACAGCTCAGAGTACAATCCACTAGTTTTGGCTCCAATTGCTGGCGCTTAGTTTATGAGTTGTGCATTTTGGCTCGCGCGTGTGCAACAGAACAAGGCCAAACATTATTCAACCTGTTATGAAGGGGGATGTCACTCCCCAAAACAGCACAGGGCGTCTACCGCTGCAGCGCGGGCGGCCTCGCCGCCAACTAGTTGCGGGCCAGCTTTAGGGTATGCGCCACGCTGGACGCATGCCTGCGCGCGCATTGCCCGCGGGCCGCGCGGTTCCGATGACCCGACCGACGCCGGCCGCGGCGCTGGGTCCAGTCAGTGATCGAACGTCCGATCGGACTCGACCAACGGTAGTTGCGCCGCGGCCGCGGCTCGGAGCCGCCTACCCGCCGGAACTCAGTCGTAAAATCGCGGAACAAACCCTGGCAACGCTGTCCGATGGCGCGGCCGCGTGCGAACGCCTGCCGCTTTGAAGGCGCGCAGCACGTCCGTATATCCATTTAAATAGGCTGCAAGTTTTGCAGCCTCCGGCCGCTTTGAGACGAGGCTCGGTTCATCAGAATATGCTCTTGCTGCAACAAGCTGGCCTGCCAGTCAGGGCAGCTGATAAAATCCCTGTAAGGCTGTGTGCTTGACAGGCGGCAAGCTTCAGAACCAGTCAAAGCATCGGGAACCCTTCAGGAGCTAAGAAAGTGTGGACAAAGTGGACAAAGTGGACTAAAATTCTGCCAGCTAAGAAACATTGGAAGGTAGGGAGGCGCCTTTGACGCAAAGTACTGCATCTGAGGATCTGAATGATGCTCATGGACCCAGATAAAACGTGATTCTGTTTCTTTCTGGATCAATAGTCGACTGCATGACTGTGTTTGTTCCAGGTTTTCATTCGAGCCACTCACAAACGAAAGTAACGCTCAATAGCTTTGCGTTCAAGAGATTTGAGCCCCTTACAATAAAATTATGTGTACATCAAGAGCACCTGGTTCGGCTGTCATGAGATCCATGCGCTGGTCAAGCTCCTCATATTATTCCGTCTATGTTTGTTTTTGTCAATCTGCTCCAAAAACTCCTGCGTTTGTCGCTCATCCCGGCCGACTCATCCTGCCCCTAGACAGTATGCTCTGACGATCTTGATTCTCAATTGAAAATGTAACCTAAGAGCGCCTCCGGATCTTACTCCATTTTCCCCGTCAAAGGTGATTGAAATGATGCTTTGAGACCGCTGTGATTTGTTGAGCAGCTTGGTTTGAGTTGCAAAAACGGAAGCCGATTGGAACTGATGCAGCTTGTGTTTATGCAGCATTTGCAGCATGGCGACCACGCTAGGCTGCCAATTTCACGAACTTGCGGAGAAGATGCAAAAGACTGAGGACCCTCAAACGTTGCGCATCTATCAGCGGCATCAAATGGTCCTTGAGGCGCGAGCAAAACTACACGCAGAAGCGGGGGTCGGATTCTACAAGCGTTTCTCCCGCTTCAAAGACCACGAAGACGACTACAGTGAGACCATGCACCGGAGTGACTCCTCAGAACATTGGAAACTAGGGTGGACACAATCTGCTTTAACTTTGGGCATGGCCCGTGAAAGTATAGAGCCTGTTTGGAACGCCAGATCGCAGCTGATTCCACCCTCGAAGGTGGTCGTCTTTCTTTGCAAGAGGAAGCACTGGTTCTCATCTGTCTGGGTCTGATGAAGAACAATCTATTGATTCGCTGCAGAAGCAGGCCTGAGGCGGAAAGTCACGTTCGCTCCCCCTCCGCTCATACGATTTCGAAGGATTCAAAGCGTTTCGTCGTTCCGCTGGGACTTCATGCAGCTTTCAGTGGGTGGTCGCATCATGGTTGCAGGGTGCCACGACGTCCTCGTCCAGCCACGTGTCACCTCCCAAGCTCGCCACGTGGGGCCAGACTGGAGCTTCTCCGGGGGCAATCGGTTAGTGGTCAAGCTCGACCCGAAAGCGGTGGGAGCCTGTAAAGCTGAGAACAATGGAACCGACCCTCCGTATGACGTCAGCTTTATCAAGGACTCGTGGAAACCCAAGACGCCTCCGAAAGAACTGGACAACGAACGAGTTATCATGTGCGAGGGCCTGCAGTATTGGTGGGTTCTCCTTTTCATTGATCATTTCTTCCGCTACACTCTGTACGGTTTTACGAAGACTTCCAGGGGAAAGCTAGCTCTGACGACTCTCGGCGCCCTGACTAGACGAAGTCATCCAGGTGTTTTGTTGACCGACCCATCCAGGGTCTCAGGAAACCTTTTAGCTAGCCATAAAGCAATCCGTCGTGCTGTTGAACTCTAGTAAAGCTCAGGTTGAAACAAACGGACTGCTGGGGCTCTGCAACGGACACTCTGTAACCTTTTGGTCAGTCTGATGCAAAATCAAATCAAACATTCTCTGTAGATGCCGTTAGTGATTGGCAAAAGGAGCGCGTTCGGATTTGCTTGTACATGTCTTCTCTCATGAGCTTTGTGATCTTTCGAAACTTTGACTGCAGCATTTCGTAATCCCTAATTTGTTGATACTTTCGCAACGTTTTGTTTCTTTTTCCAGGCAGGAGACGGGATTCGCAAAAGTGCAAGAATCCGAGGGTGAAAACCCGTATCCCTACAAGCACCCCGCCCGGAGATATGCATATCGCTCGCTTCACCTGAACCAAGCCGCCTCGGCGCCATACGCTATGTACCGAATGCTGTGCCTCTTCCCGTGGCTTATCTCCGAGTGGCGTCCTTGCGACTATTACAAGTGCCTTTGGTACTTCACAGTCGAGCATAAGGAGACGGGCTTCGTCTTTCAGATGTCGGAGCACAAGGCTTCTCTGCACGCTGTGGTGCGCTTTCCATCCTTGTTCGTCTGAATCTTACCATGTTTTTACATCGACGCTCTTGTTTTTGCTTGACGACATCATAGTTTCTTACTGTAGTCTCTGCTTCGTAGATGCGGGAACGTTTTTTCAATCTCTTGTGTCCATACTTTCTCCGCATCCTCCGAAACATCATCTGCTTCTCGTCATTCTCCCTTTCAGCAACAGATAGTACGCTCTCATTAAACTTGAAACTGAATATGGTGATTCTCACCGAAATTTTAGTTGCTTCTCTGCAACTAGATCGAGTGGGATCCGGAGAGCCCCTGGGCCGACTGCTTCAAGAGCGAGGCGTGCGCGCTGCTGGAGCTGATCTTGTCCGACGCCTCCCGTCACCCGTGCGGCGTCCTCGCGGGCAGCATCGATCCTGTCGTCTTCAAGCCGTACAAAGAACACTGGACGAAGGTAAGGTTTCTTTTTAGATGCAATAGGAAAAGCCTTGATTTTAAGCTTCTGTCTCAAGGCCAAGTAGTCGGTTGGTCGAGACAAGGGATCCTAATACCGAAAAGGATCGAAAAGGTGATCGAAAAGGAAGAAGCGTTCAAAGATGGTTCGACTAGAGATCTCTTTCCTTAATCGACGAAGATGAGTTACTAGCTGAGGGTCAGTGTTTTGGGTCATTTGCGTATACCAGAGAGTCTATGTATTCGGCGCCGTCCCCAAGATCTTCGAGACTGTAAGCTTGTGGGCAACAGGTAATACTTGAGCTTGAGTCGGAACATTCAGGGATCGGGCGACCCATTGAGCGAGCTCCGCTAGAATTCTGCCTTCATGCCTCTGGTCCAAGAAGGATTGCCAGCAACCACCTTTTCTTTCGAGTCTTAGGATTAAGTCGACCCAGGGCGGTTTTCTTCGGTCGGAGTCAAAATACCTGCGTCATATATGAGGAATTAGTTGCAAAGGCCCCTTGTTCGGTTTTGTTTGCAAACGCCTTGCCAGCTTAAACTGTTCCTTCTGTCCCGGGCCGCGCCGCATTCTTTCATCTCCTTCACCTTCTACCGGTCCGGTTTTGGGCCAAGCAATTGCTTGATGAAGCGATGCGTTTCTTCGCTGGTGTGCACAGGGAGGAACACCGGTTTGCCCGGTCTTCCTGCCCGGCCATCCCCGTCCCTTCTAGTTCTGCCCGGTGATCTGACCCCCTGCCCGGTCTACCGACTTCCCTGCCCGGTCACAACACCGGGCAGCCAATCGACGGACGTCCTGCCCGGTCTCGCAAAATCACTGGGCAGGAAGAATGACCGGGCAACGATTCTCTACTACCGGGCAGCGCATCACAAGGCAGCAACACGACCCGGGGCAGCCGACATCGCCGGGCAAGTGCGCCGGGCAGCATCTACAGCCGGGCAGCGCAGTCGGGGAAGAAAACCGGGCAGTGAGATACGACCGGGCAATTAGGTCGGAGAAAGAGGACAGTAGATATCTGCTGCTTTTGTTCCGTAGTTCATACAAGTACTGTACGATCATTCAATGCGTTCAGATAATCAAACTGTTCGCAATCATTGAATTAGAGTCCAAGACGTTCGGAGCCATTATAATTATGTTGCCGCATAGATATGCATGTAACATAATCTTTTTTGTCCATTTCGCAGGCGATTAAGCTTCGAACTTCACTCGTTCCAAAGTTGAAGTGTGGAATGAATATATTGCTGCATAGTTGTTCGCTGGACCCCTGCGCCATGGATCCTTCAAGTCTCGTACATGTGCAGCGCGAAATATGCGAAGATTGATCATGAGCCGATGCGATACTCGCTAATTCATATACAACCTGTGCTTGAATAGATGGATGAGGCCCATTCGGAGAGCAGAGGCGCAAATCCATGTATAACGATTGATTAATCAAAGGCGTTCCAACTTACATACGGTCGAACGATAGCCCTCCTTTTGTTTTGAAAGTCGGTTCGAGCTCGACCGTTGGATGAAGAACGGACAACCCTGATTTCGTCGAAAAGCCCACAGATGTGTGAGGCCACGCTTCGGCACGTTTATAATAAATAATCGCCCCGAATTCTGCCAACAATGAGGGCGAGGACGAGATGCTGGCTACGCTAATTGCCAACCTTGCTTAGATGATCTGAGAGCCGCGGAGCCCTCTGTTTTAATACGAGGCTTGGCGCGTTGATCGTCGGATCGTATACATCGACGATCCTGACTTCATCGGGACGCCCACAATCATGCGAAGCCACATTCCGAGAATTTAAAAGGAATGTTCGCTTCACTGTTGTCATGACGCTGGGGCTATGGCGAAACTATATGCGCTTGGCGCCAAGAGCAGCTAGGCGCCAAGCGAGTCCAATGGGTTCGCCGAGCCCCCTTTTTTGAGAGGCGGTCCGAGCGCTAGGCGCCGACTGTTTGATGAAGAGATCAACGATTGATGTTCCGTAATCAGCATCCCATAAACCAGCGATCCAGACGAATGCTCTTCGCAGGCATCATGCATATGCACCAGCAATCCTTCACGCTGCATGTCCAGAGGTGTTAATTCTGTTCTGATTCCCAGATTCGGAGCCTATAGAGTTGTACGTCCCATTCACAAGCTGTAGTGTAAAGTGGCCCCAAACAATCTTACTTCACAAGCTCACCCCTGAAGCAGCTCATCCGATTCCGCTGACCCGTCCGCTAACCCATCCGCTAACCCGTCCGCTAATGGGTCCGCTAACCCCCCGTCCGTAAATCCCCGTCCGCTAACTCAGGTCCGCGATCACTAGAGTAATTGTCCTGAGTCACTCGTCCTCAAAGTTGCTGTTATCTGTAGCAAAAGGAGAGGGAGATCCGTAAGCATCAAATTCGCCCATGAGCGGCAGGTTCACGGAATGGTTGTTACTTTCTCTACGAAATGGTTGACACTTTCTCTTCAATCCTGTTTGTCCCCTGTTTGTCAAGCGGCAGACTGCGCCTGAACGAGTTCGTGACGGCGAAACTTAAGAATAAGTGCTGTTTCATGCGCTACCGTGAGCTCCTCAAGCGTTCCTTTCCGGGTGTCTGGCCAGCTTTAAAAAGTCGTCGCGCATCCGTCAGGTTTGGCTAGCCAGGGCGGTGTTTTGCTATCCTGGACTCAAAACCTTGTCAAATGGAGAGCTTGAGTAGTCATCAGAAGTTATGAAACGGAAACTGCAGTTCGTGTTGACCTGTGGAAAAGCACAGGCACTGGACTCGCCTCCAGAGATTGTATACCTCATAAGCCTGTGGCTGAAAAATCTGACCTCCTGATTCGTTGTACGCAGAGCGAAGTTCTCTGTGTCCACCAAGGCCGCTGAGAGTTTCTTCAAAAGCGGGCATATGTCGAGCGAGCCCGAAAGACACCGTCTTTAGAGCGAATTCGATCGAACTGAGTCGGGGTACGTATCTCAGAGGGCCAGACGCAAAAGTTTACCCTCAGAAGTAGCTTTGCAAATTCACGCGTCCTTTCGCGAGGTTAAGAGACGGTTCTTTGCGCGAGCTACCGAGTAGCTGCACACGGGTGACAGATTTCTGACCCCGGCTGTTCAAATCTGTGGCACTGCATGAAACGTTTCTCTTGACGGCTCTTGTCAGTTCCTATAATGCGAAGGAACCTTTCTCACCTTCTGCCACCGAGTCCCATGAGCCGTCCGAGTCGCCCTCCGAGTCGCCGTCCGAGTTCGGTTGGCCGTACATCACCTATACACAAGGGGGAAACGGTCAGAGCTGGCTTTTTCTTCGTACTATTCTGTTCTGTGGTTACAGAGTATTGAACTAGCCAGACCCAAAAGATTGCTCACACTCAGCCCGAATGATCAGAGCTAAGCCTACTTATGCGAGCTACCCAGAAGCTCTACACGCTCGATCAAGGGAGAGAAGCGCTGGAAGATCTTCGAATCTCTGCATCCGGCTGCTCAGAAGGGCTGAGAATAGGGGTGAATTGAAACAGGTCTCTCAACGCGTCTGGTTGCGGCAAAGTAATTGCATCATCACCTGGCCAGGCTCCGCGTCTGAGCTGTCGCCTGAGCTGTCGCCTGAGCTGTCGCCTGAGCTGGCGAAGTCGTTCCGGATTACCTGTACCCAAATCAGAAAACGAAAACGGTCAGAGAATCGAATCAGCAGGCGAAGGACCAGCTCGGTGTAGATATCATGTAAAAATACAATCGAATCTCAACCGCGCCAGCTACGCGCTCGTCAACGGAAGAACATTGTTGGATGGAAATTTAGCTGCTTAAAGCGGCTGCTAGTGGGTGCAATGAATGGGAATCCTGAATGCGCCTGGTTACGACTGGACCTCACAAGCGGACCTTATGAGTTTTTGAATGTCCTCACGTCTTCTTCGCCATGCGGATTGTAGTCCTCCTCCAGGCGCGGCCACGCCCGCGCGCTCCGGTTGCCCGGCCACACGTCATTCCTCTCTTCCATGTTGTCCGAGAAGGAGATTGCCCGCACGAACTCGTCCGGTCTCCAGGGCAGTGGCTCGCTTGTCGGCCGCGGCGGACCAACCTCGTCGGGCATGAGCATCAACGGCGGCTGGACCTCCTTGCACAGTGTTTGAGATAAATGCCTGTCCTTGATGTTTGCTCACGGAAGCGCAAGAAACACCGAAGTGGCGCTCTCCGAATAGAACGGAGAAGAAAGCGCGAGAGTCCTTTGTCTGAGCAGATTCTCCGGACCAGATTCTTCAGATTGTTTAGATCCGGTAGTATTCTTCTCACTCCGGTTATCGGTGTTCTCCAGACTCTTCAGATCAGATTCTTCTTCTCACAAGCACTGCAAACGGGCAGCACGGGAATCGCAGAAACCTCAGGTCTCGCTTGACTAGATTCCGGTTACTTCGACCCGGCTGGTTTACCTAAATCTCGATTACTCCCGAGTATTAGAAGGAAAGGATGATGGAATCAAGTAGAATCAGAGAAGGCGAGGCCAACCTACTGCCAATCGGCGGATTCATCTCAACAAGACAGACAGAGCTTGAAGGCTATTCTGGACAAAAACGTCTACCATCTTCTGGGTTAATCTAGGCTTCTAGCTGACAATTGATTTTTTTTTCAACTATTTCTGGAGATCCGAGCAGATTTTCAGAACGTTAACCACAGCAGTCGTATCTCGATAGTAGAGAAGCAACGCAAACCGCTCAGAAAATATGTACAACTTACAGGTCCATCTCCAGGCCCTGCCAGGCGAGCGCCTTCTTGCGGCTGTTGGCGAGCATCTTGCTGGTTGTGTGCCTCCTGCTGACTCTCCGCCCCGTCAGCTGCGTCTGCAGTACAGTCCTGGCCGTGACCGCGTGCCTGTTCTCCTGGATTACCGCTGCCCGGAACGCGGCGAAGTTGACGCTCTTCTCGGAAAAGAGATGCCTGCCGATCAGGCATTCCCAGTCAGATTCCAACGTTGCCTTGGTTGAGAGCTTTCCAAAGTCAAACAGCAAGTCATCTTCCGGACGATCATCCGGGTCGAATTCGGGGTTTAGGTACGCCTTTCCGCAGTTAACCTCGTTCTGGCGGGCTGCAAAGTTAGCACGTGCCCCGCTCGCAAACCCAAAGGTCCACATGAAAAGAATGATTCCATCCCGCAGCTCCCAGTACCCGTCATCATTGCCGAGGCCCACTGCATTGTAGGCTGCCCAGAAAGCATCATCCATAGCCCTCCAGGCCTCAGCAGGCGAGAGGACCGTCCCCTCCTTCACCTCATCAAACACGATCCAGGCAAAGCCCTGAGGGTTGGCTGTCCACCTGGCCATTGACTGTGCCCTAGTGCGCAGACCAAGGACGTAAGATTCCCAGTGCATGCGCCAACCCTCAGAGGCCACCACCAAGATCGCGAAGTTGGGGACTTCAAGCATGCACTGGGGCCCATTGAAGCCCTGTTCAGCCAGAAAGCTCAGGCACTTATCCTGGAGAGACGATGGCTCAGACATGGCGCAGCAGACTTCAAGAAGGAGCAGCTATGGCGTAACGAGAAAGTGGGGCGCAAAGCTTCCTCAGAAGGCGTTCGTTGCAGGGGCCCCGTTTCTGTTTGAGCGAAGCGGGAGACTTTTCGAAGCTTCCATGCGCAATCGCGCAAGGAAAGCCGAAGCTTTGATCGGCCACTGGCAGTCACGCGTACGAAAACGGCAGTTGACGATCGAGCAACGGAGGCATAGACGGCAATTGCGCAGCAGTTACACTACTGTAGGTTTTAGCACTGACAGGGAAGTCGACCATTGGACAATCCATATCGTACGTCCGAGAAAGTTAAGTCCTAGGCAGAACGTACGTCCGAGAAAGTTAAGGCCTAGAATGCTTCAGCTGCTGCAGCAGCACGCCTCACAGATCAGGGAGCGCCCTTTGTTTTGACTGCGCGCTTAGGCTCCAGCCGTATTCCAGACAGCCATATTCCAGACAGGACGTGCTCAGAAAAGATTGGCTAGAGAAAAGCAGGGCGCTCATGAGCTGATCAGGTTATTGCCAAAGTTGCGTCCCAGCTCTCAGACCGGCAGTCGCGCTTTGCGTAGATATTCGACGTGGGCGCCTTATTGAAACCCGAGACCGGTGACGGAAGGTTTCAAGATAGACAGACACAGCATCTGAGCAAACCACACTCCTGTCTTTTGACAAGAAAGTTTGGGACGAAGGGTGCGAACAAACCTCTTAAAAGGGAGAAGCAGCGGGGGCCTTTGAGTGCCCTCAGATGGGCGCTTTTGAGGAAGCAAGCAGACGGACGAAGGTCCGCGTGTCCAAAATTTCAAAGAACGGCTCTCCTTTTGAGTCCAGTTTTTTGTTCATGAAACTGTGAGAAACTTCTCAACTTCTCAAATTAGAAAGGGGACAAGATCAGGCCAGAAATATATCTAAAGAATCCGGAAAGACGGGAAGAAGAACAAGTAGCTTCGCCCACGAACAATCAATCAATCAATCATTCTTTCAATCAGTCAGTCAATGCAAGCTTTGATACTTTGATGTAGCTGAAATCAACGGGATCAGGCTCTAGCAGTAAGCTGATGGGCGCTGGCCAGAGATTCTTGCTTAGTCTAGGCTTTGTTCAGTCTGACGTAAAGTCTGATCATTCACTCCAGCTGTATGTGGGTAGACCTGACCCTGCAGACATGTGTCTTAAACTGACCCTTATCGACCGTTTTCAAATGTCTGAATAAATTGCACTCACGTTTTTCTAAGGGAACCCATGGGTTCCCTTGGCCAGCCCTAGATCCGGATGCGTACGGGCGGCAGCGCCTTGAACGTGTAGATCTGGCCCCGCTGCCTGTCCTCCACCATCTTCACCGACTCCACGCGGTCTTTTATCTGGTTCCAGGTCACCGTCTTCAGCTCGTAGGCGCGTGCCTCCCCGTCACTCTCAGCGTCACTCTCCTCGTCTCTCTCGGCGTCGCTGTCGACGTCCATCTCTCCCTCGACTGGGTAGGGCGTCCAGTCTTCTTCCCCCCCGTCCGGTGCAGGTGGTCCGCATCTTTTCAGCCACTGGAGGGCTGCCTTCCTTCCCCCACCGGAGCTGACCTTCCGCACGATGGCGTACGCCAAGGACCAGCCCGGCCTCACCGACTTGAGGACCCCGTACGGGACTCCGTAGCCCCACTGCCCTTCTACACCCTCTTTCCGGACGTCCGCGTCCTCTAACACCTCCACTCGGACGATGTCCCCGACCTGCGAGATTTGGGCGTCCGAAGGTGAGGCCGAGAATCTACAGTAGTAAATTGCTTGCAAAAAAAAAACGGGCCGACTTGACAGGAAGGCGAAAGGATTTTCGAAGAGCTTGTCTGCAGCAGGTGGTGGGCTCTGTGAGAATTCAAGGTGTTCTTTACGTAGTGCCAGTCTCTCAAGCTATCGCATAGCCTTAGTGTGCAATCAACACGCATCACTTCAAAGATTGGTTAAAAGGACCCCTTATGGAGAGGCTTGAACAACTTTCAGGGTTTTGCTTTCGGATTGCGGACGTTGCAGGAGCTCTTGTCGCACCGTCTTCATCGCGGCCGCACGCGAGGTTTTTGTCAAGGTTTCTGCGAGGTTTTTCTCGAGGTTTTGCGCGCGGCCGCGCCCGACCGCTTAAGATGTTTTGTTTGCACAGCCGCGCGCGAGGCCTTTATTGGGGCCGCGCGCGAGGTTTTGCGCGCGGCCGCACCGACCAAAGGTTTGCGCGCGGCCACGCCCAAGGTATTGCTCGCGGCCGCGTCCGCGGTTTTGCGCGGCCGGGCGCGAGGTATTGCTCGCGGCCACGCGCGAGGTTTTGTGCGCGGCCGCGGGCGTGTCCGAAGCAAATATTCGCAAAACCAGAAGGTTGGGGGGACGTGAAGAATAGAATTTCGGCGCGTCGTGAATGATAATAGAGTGTGCCACTTGTCGCGTTTCCTCCAAGATAGGGTCTGCCGTTTTGCTGATGGCAGAGCCTATTCTGATGTCTTATGGTTTCTGGAAAAGAAGACCAAAGTCTCTCGAAGCCTCGGAGTCTGTAAACAAACTCAAGACTCCCAGAAATAATAGTCTGTGAACGCAGCTGAACGTCTCCCACGTACATTGAAAGTCTCCAAAAAAAGTTTGTAAAATCTTACCCGGGGTAAGACCGGCACCCACACGTCGTGCGCCTCGAACCCCAGCCCGCTCGGCGCCACCTCGATCACGTGACTCGCCCCTGTGCAGAGCGTCTCGCCGAGGGCGGGCACCGGGATGAAGTGCCTCCGCAAGTGGCAAGCCAGCCGGACGCGCTTCTGGCCTGGCTTCAGGGGCTCGAGCATGAGGCAGTTGTGCGGACTGCCACCCAGGGGAAGCCCCGTCTCCGCGTCGCGCTGGATGCGGAACCGCGAGTATTCCAAGAAGATCCGCCGGGGGCCGTTCTTGGGCTTCGCGGTGAAGAACGACTCCACCAGGACGTACTCCTCCGACTCGTCCGCAGCTTTCGGGGCCAGCACGGCGTGGTCGCCCGGAGCGAAGTTGTTCTCGCCGAGCTGTAGAGGGTGAGTGCATCGTGTGTGAGTCGCTGTAAGACTTTTCTGCGAGACGGTTACTTCTTACAGCCTCTGTCAATCATGCTTCATAGAGGCCTACAGTCGCATGTTGCCCGTGATACTACCAATCGGGTCGATTGTCAGAAAGATTCGCACCATCTGTCGAAGAATATCGATTCAATTTGAAACTTGGTGGATTCCAGAAACTTAGAAACACGCGCTTTCGATCTTGGGGAAAAGACTGTTCCAAACGGGTCGTTCAAGGGCGCGAGGAAAGCCCTCAGCACGTACTTTCGACCGCAGGACTTCGTTCAGACTGCAGTATATCTTTTGGCAGGACCCATATAAGGGGGGGAGGTCGCTTATAACCATGCTTGGGCTGAGGGAAGGCTTCTCGGAAACCCGTCTCACCGGAAAGTAAAATCAGTTTTTCTTGGCTAAAAGCCGTGGATGCGTTGAGTGGGGTCCATAAAGTCTTTTAAAATATCTCGGGCACGCCAGACGCCCGACCGGTTAGGGAGCTGTGGCGTTAAGTGTTGACCAGACCGGTACTAGTGAGCCAGGGATTGAATGAGACTGAATTGGTGTGAATGCACTCTCTCAGGTCTGAATCCGAAAGAAATTTCACAATCCGCTCTCGCAAGAAGGTTAGCCGGATTGCATGAAACGATGTTGGAGACGTAACCGTGCCTTTCAAAGCGGCTGATGGCAGAAACGGAAAGTCGTCTGATTCCAGAGCTTGCCTGCTTTCTCGCTTCGGACACGTCCTTGCTCCTGAACGGCCTGTTGAGCAATTCAAAGTCTCCGTCAATTAGCTGAAAGACTGTTTAAAAATGGCAAGTTCTTTGCGGCGCAAAACCTGAATACTCCTTGCCCGCCGGACCGTACGACGATCCACTCGGTAGTACCGCTCCCCCGTCCTCGCGGCCGCCCGCGCCTCTCCGTCAAAGATGCGCTCGACGGCGACGCGCTGCACGTTCTCCAGTCGCAGGCGCGTCCGCGTTTCCCACTTTTCCGGCAACTGCCCGACCGCCACACCCTCCTCGCGCACGCGCGCGAGTATCTGCTCGTCCGACGCGCGCGCATCGCGCGGCCGCTCGAGCCCCAGCTGCTCCACGTAGGTCGCGGCTTCTGTCTGCGACGCGGCGAAGACGACCCCATCCGACTCGCGCGCGCGCGCGCGCGCCCACACGTCGTCGCCCGCTGACCGTCCGGCGGCACGGAGTCGCTCTTCGCGTCGTTTTCGGAGCAGCCACGCAATCCTCACGCAGAAAAGCGCCCGCTTGTGGAGCGTACTCTCGACCTCCTTGCAGTTGTGCTTGGTGTTGACCAGCTGCTTGATCTTGCGTTCTTGCGCGTAACACCAGTACGCGTCGGGCGGGCCGTGCATGCGCACGTTTGTGGGCATGTGCAGGCAGGTCTCGTGATCGAGCGGGCGCAGCTTGGGCAGCGCGTACTCCTCCGCGCGGACCAGCTTCGCCTTGAGCAGCTGCTGGAACACGCACGCAAGCTTGCTCGTCCACCCGCCCCGCGTGCCGACCAAGTACACGAGCGTGTGGATGCACGCCACCAGCTGCACGATCGCGTACCCCTCCGGGTCCTCCGTCGCGACGTCGGCGAACGCGGTGGCGAAGCAGACCGTCGCCGCCTTCATGTGCTCCTCCGCCTTCCACCACCCCAGCGGCCGCTTCTCCGGGTCTGCCGGCCACCGTCCGTCGCCGAGCTTCCGGGTGGGTCTGATGCCCGCCAGCCGCTTGCCGAAATCCTCTTTATCGGCCCGGGGAGGTTCTAAACTGAACGTCGTGTCGCCCTGCTTTGAAGTGACCCCGTTCAGAAAGTCTTGTAACAGGTGCTTCACCATGTTTTCGGGGCCACAGTGCAGGAAGTCGCTGCATATGTCCAGCAACAGGTGCAGACCGTACGCCGCCCACAGGATCAATAGCATGCAGAACCCATTGAAGCCCGTCCGCTTGTTGATCCGATTCCGCTCCGCCTTTGACCTCGCCCCTAGGTGCTCGAGCATTGCGGCCGCGACATCTTCCATCGTCTTCTCTTCGCACCCGTCGCGCGCGAGCCGCCGGCCGTCTTGATAAACCAGCCTCCCGTCGTTGTAGCGCGTAGCCTGGTGCTTGCAGCTCCGCGAAACCCAGTATCCCCCCAGCTTGAACTTCAACATATCCGCCAGGGCCGGAAGGTCTGAAAACACGCTCGAGACTATCATCCGGATCCTAACCGGGCCGTTCTGAGGGGGGAGTTTGGGGCTAATCTCGTTGGGAGGGAGGGCGTAGTTGACCAGGATGCCCTCCTTGAAGAGGCGCAGGGCGTCCAGCACGAATGCGAGCATGAAGGGGTCGTAACAGTCGGGGCCGGCGACCATCTTCGTCTTTTGGGGCAACATTAACGGCCACAGCCAGTCCTCCGTCCCCCTGTGCAGATTGCGTTTGGAGACCGTCATTGGAAACACGTCCAGGATGCAGCTGGACTTGCTCGACGTGGTTGCCGTCGGGAACCCGTCCTGATGCAGCCCCAGCTTCAAGTTCCTCGGGTCCCCCCGTCTCGCCAGGTCTGACAGCGTCGCCGTCATCTCCGTTTTGCAGATGGGGCACAGCGCTTCGAAGCGCTGCCGTTCGGCGACCCACATCTGGAGGGTCGGCCGGGTGAACCAGGGGGGGCTGAACGTCTTGGCGCAATGCACTTTCCGGCTTCTGCAGCACTCCGGGCACGTCAGCGGAAGAAGGAAGCTGGACTCGGGGTCGAAGAACGCCGCGTCGTCTCGCCACCGCTCCCCGTCCCAGACTTCCGACTGCGGCTCGAAAACCCCCCCCTTCGGTTGCCCCAGCCAATGTTCCCGCTGTCCCCAAGCCCCCCGGACCGTCGCGTCTTTGCAGCCTTCCAGCGTGGTGAGCTTCGCGCGCGCGTGCAGCTCTGGCGATATGTACGGCAGCTCGTACGCGTCCCGCCGCCGGAAGCCGCAGTCCGGGCACTTCTCTTGGTGCACGGGGCAGTCGCGCCACGCTGGCCTGCGCGGCCCCTCTTCGCATTCGGGACAGGGAGTCGTTCTGCAGTCTTCGGCGCTCGGGGCGAAGAGGTGCCAGTGGCCCTTGTTCTCTCCTGTTTTGGGGCCCGGGTGCCAGCGCCAGTTCTGTGCTTCGCCCAGCTCACGTGACGACCTTGCCAGGTAGGCAGTTACCTGCACAAGAATGTTTCGAAACTGTAAGTCTACGTACCGGAAGTCATACCATCGGAAGGCCCGACTTTTCCATGCGATCCCGCGTGAAGGACAAGTTTTTTGGAAGCATAATCTTTTCGTGCACCAATGTTCCGCTGTTCTGCCGTTCCTTTTGTCTGCCTGCTCGAAAGAAGAACGGAACAGCAGAAAATCGGAACAACGGTGCTTGCGTGCGCACCACCGCTTCCATGTGCACCCCTCCTCGTGAAAAACTCAAGATCTTTCAGTTGAACGTTTTCAAAATCCAACTCTGCTTTCAAGCCGTCTTAATCAATTTTGAAAAAGAGCCAATCTCCATTCAGACATTGCGCACACTTCTTTTGAGATGCAAACAACTTGGTAAATCAAAGACTATGATTGTCTCCTTGATCAATCTCACGAGTTGACGTCTGGTCAGAAAAGTTGATTGGACGGAGATGTCTCCGAGCACAGAATCTACAGAATATTGCTATGCTTCCCTCTCCTTCAGCCGTGCTTTACGATTCAACAACGATCAGATCCCTCAACTTCAACTGCCCGGTTTTGAAAGACGGGGAAAGCTTATAGAGTTAGCGGCTGAGTTACTCGCGAATAACTTACCCACCATGGTGCTTATTGGCCAACTATGTGGTGCTTGTTGGCCAACTCTCTAAGCTTCCCCTTCGATCGAGGGGACATTGCGGACTCGACTGAGTTGTTGACTAACTTTCTAAGCTTCCACCTCCACACATTACTACCAGGGGAAGCTTAGAAGTTAGTCAATAACTTAGTGTTTGAAAAGCCAGCAGGTTGCAAGCTGAGAATTGTAATGTTTTTGGTCAATTACGTCGCCTTTGGTGGTCAAGTGCAGGGCCCTTGTCAAGCCCCGCGGGACAAGGGTCCGGCCGGGGCTCATCGTCGTGGGGTTGGATTTACCGGTGAATGTTACCCCCCAACCCCCTTGCTGGAATGAAATTCGGAGAAGGCTCTGCAAATTGTCTTATAAAATTGTCTAATTGTCTTATAGAACTGTCTAATTGGCTAATCGTCAAATATTTGTCTAATTGCACAGCATTTCAATTTCTAATTAGGAACGAAGATGCTGCACGGTTCTCTGAATTCAGATCCTGCATCCTGACGTACCTAAATGGCAGCAGAAAGGGAGATTAATTCCATCTGACGGAGGTCTCCGCAAACTAGAAGAGAAGAATCTGACCAGGGCCAGGTTTGTTCAAAGGCCCTCTCGAAGTTAACAGATTGTACTGGACAGCTAGATCGATACATATTCATCTGGCCAGCAGCTTCACAGGAGATTTGGTCAGTTCGGACAGCCTACCTGAGCATGCGATTGAGGAAGAGCCAGCCTCGTGATGGTCTCTTTCCACCGAGGGTCGATTGCCGCAGCGAAGGAGTCGCTCGCGCCGATGCACGTCTTGAGCAGCTTGTCCATGACTGCGTTGCTGAGAGCACTCTGCTCTCCAATCCTCTGCAGGTCGACGATCGCATCGAGCAGCTTCTCCTCAAGAGCAGACCCTGGACCACCCGCTTGCCCTGGATCTTCCCCCTGGCCATGCTCGCGGTCATCGTCTACAGCAGGAGCCTCAAAGTCCGGTAACTGGCCAAACCAGCTGCCAATCCCTGCCCTTTCTGTTCCGTTTCTCCCACCCTCTCTTCGCGCATGCGCTGCTTCAGCTCGTGTCCCTGGCTCTGCACCATCTAGCCCCCCTTCCCCCTCAAATTCCACGTTACCAGCCAGAAGATTGGCCTGGTTTGCTTCAGAGCGCCCTGCTGGAACTCGAAGCTCTGTCTCTGCGTTTGGGATTTCTCTCTCCACTAAGGCTCCTGCTGCAGATGTTCGAGCATGTGAACTGACAGCAGCTGCAGGTGCTCTCTCTTTCTCAAGGTGCTTTCTCCTGGTGCGTTCGTTGACGTACCGTCCCCCATCCTTGTTCTGTTTGCACAGCGTACATGTGCACCAGATTCTTCCCTCCGAGTCGAATTCCGCTTCGAAATCCACGGGAACCTGTTTCAGACGCATGCTTACTTTCGAACTATACTGCCGGCATACTGCAAGCGCCTCACTGATTACATGAAGATTCTCATGATCGCGAGCAATTCTCAGTGACACCTACAGCTTGAGGACGTCGACTCCATCTCTTCACATTCTTCGATCTGTTTCCCCTCTGCAGGAATCTAGCTCGATCTCTGCTAGCATCACAATCGCTTTTGCGACTGCACATGCGGTCTCTCACAAAGCAGCAAATGAGCTCTAGATAGTCTCCGAGGGTGCTCAAGCTCATCATGTCGATCAGCCTCGAGGCTGATCAAAGAGCTCTTTGAACGTACAAAGTCAACCATTTCCTTCATCTTGCCATCTTCACTCTGCAGCAAAACACAAGGAGCACCAGCCGGGGTTCGACGCGAGCATCGAAGCTAAGATACAGGTATGCGCAAGTACTTCGCGCCCGTCGATGTTATAACTATCTGCAAAGAATCCCGCCAAATTTGAGGCAGATTCGCGCGTACGGCTCTGATTTCCAGGCTACAGGTTGACTGTCAAGAACGATCGTCCGATATCTTTGGAAACCTGGTTTTGACACGGAGTTACGCACTTCGGTTCGATAGGAGATCGAGGTAGATGACCTGACGGAAATGATGTATATCGTCGAACTTCGTGTCAAAGCGAGCGCACGAAATCCCTGGTGTTCGAACATGCAGACGTCGCGCGCCTAACGTTAGGTTAACCCTGTTACAGTCAGCGCACAAGCAAAGAACGATGCTGCAGCAAGGAGGCAGCACTAGCAGCAGAGACTTAGATCAGCAGTAGTAGCAGCAGCAAAAGCCGCTGCAGGTCCGTCTGAGAAGGGGCCAAAGCATCTACAGATCGAAGTCGTTCTGGTTTTTTTTGCATTTTGATCAGCGCTCCATAGCTTCGGATGGCGCAGGCTGACGCGAACGAGATGAATGACAGCAGCGCTAACGTGAGCGATATGACCTGCGAGGAGTTTGCGCAAGAGGTTGAAAAGAGATTGAAGAGCGATAGATACACGAAATTCATCATCGAGGAAGAGATCAGCGGAGAAGCCTTCCAGGCTGGAGGCGACCCTCTCATTCAAAGCTTCACGGATCTAGACAGTGAAAAAAAGATAAAGCAGGGTCACATCGTAATCTTGCAGAAGTACAGACAGTCAAGCTTTGGTACGCAGGGATCCACTGATGAGAGAGTCAGCGGTGAAGCTGACAAGGGTCCTGCAGATTGCCTGAGCAGGGAGCTGGTGGCTGTGGAAGAGGGGGGTGCTTCTGAGGGGGCAAAAGAGAAAGGAACGGAGAAGAGGAAGGCAGCGCAAGCGATGAATGAACCTGCGACTGCACAAAACCTGTTCGCGACACTGTGGCAGAGCCATAAGTGGAAGCACGTCATGGGAGGGAATGGGGTCCGGAGGATGCAGGCAATGCATGCAGACCTTAGTAACCGGATGCACGTGGATCTTGGCCTGGAAGACTATGCCCAGGGCGGGAGCAAGGAGAACGAGAATCTGCCAGATGAGCAGCAGGAGCGGCTGGCGTCGATCCACTTGAAGAAGAACGGCAAGGACCGAGAATGGAGGGACCGGATCTACGACGCCATCATGGGGGAGGGAGAGAGCGGTGGAATGTTGACGACTCTGGACGGCAAGGTCTTCAGGTGGCCCAAGGGTAAGCTTGAAAGCTTTTAACTCTCGCAGAAAGTACACTTTTTTTCGAGCCAAACTTTCTTCTCTGTGCAGTACAGCTCAGTACGTAACAGACTCTTGAACTGGAAGGTATCATACAGATCCATCGCTGATATCGATAATCCTGGGACATTAGACGCTGTCAGCGTGATCTTTCTCAATCTTGGAAATTATACGATGATATCCTGCTAGCTGTTTTGTGCTTTTCATCTTCGGATGCATCTGGCCTGCGCATATATATGGACCGTGGAGATTGTCAGTCATTCTTGATTGCAGATTGCTAAGACGAAAAGCACTGTTTATTGTGACAGCGTTATCGAGAATTATCACCTTCGTCCTGCTCGGTGCATCTGCAACTTCGTACGCATCCAAGGGCGTCGAATTTTATCAGACGTACACGAACGCCTCTTGCTGGATTCGTGACTTCACTGGCTTTGATGTGCAGCCGCTCCAACAGATTTGTCGGGAATTGTTCCGGTCATGAACTGGATTTGACTCACGACTGTAGACTCTGCGAATCCCAGCATCAGATTCGTTCAGCTCAAAGAAATCGGTCTCCAGCAAATCGCGGAGGATTGCCAAGGGCATCATTCTAATTGCGCTGCATGCATTTCAGGATCGATCACGTACATATATGCATACTTTCACCTGCAGGGACCTTCAACAGGACGTTTAATTCCATCCTGGACACGATGAGGAAGAAGCTCCTGAAGGCAGAGAAGTACAAACGCAACCAGCAGAAGAAACTACAGAAGTACCATGCCAACAAGAAGCTCAAGGTAGGAGAGCCAATGTTCTTTGGACGGCTGCTTTGGATGAAAATCGACAGGCACATTGATATCTTGTTCTTCTGTGCCCCGCCTCGCGTGAATCTCTTGGCATGTCCGAAACACAGGGTCGGCCTTTAGAAACAGAGGTTAGTGCTAGTGTCGGTCAGCTTTCCGCAGGCTGTTTCTGCACGCTTGGGGCGGCGCTCTCTTCACATCTCAGTTGCGTGCCTCTGGACTCCCTACGTCTCAAGGCCAGAATCTTCACCCCCTTGTTCCAATCTCAGAATACTCTCAAACTTAAGGGGAACGAGTTCTGAGATTCAAATCCCCCGTCGTCGATGGATCTGATCAGTGCGGCATGATTCCTAAAGCTTCCTTTCCGAAAAGGCTGGTCAAATATGTTCGAAGGTGATGTAAATCGCACGTCAAAGTGAGAAACTTTGCCAATTCGTTTCCTCTCCCCCGAGCGTTGAAGTTCTCTGCTCTATCTTCAATTCACCTCTGAAATAACTTGTCGGCTTGATCACATGCCGTTGTTTGAGGACCGATTCGCACCCGCTGGCTGTTTCGAGTTTGCAGGGACGTTCCGAAGCTCGCGCTGCGCTCCCGCAAGGAAGCGCCGACGGGTCACACGGCGAAGCTCCCGCGCAGGTAGGCCCGAAAACGCTGTGTGCGTATACGTTTCTGCGCATACGTTTCGTGTCTCCTAAAAAGTGTGAATACACGAAGTTTTGAAAACCTCTCGGGACTGTCCGCACAATCCGCTGCACAATCCGCCGCAGAACCTGGGGGTTATTCACATCACGTGACTTGCCAGCGGTAAGGAAAGCATTCAGCGGATTGGTCTCAGCCGTGCGAGGTGGAAGCAGCCAGAAAGCCTCTCCCGTTTGGAACAGTCTCTGTGTCTCTTACACGTTCACGGCTGCGTGATAGGTTCCGGAACCGACGCCCGACGCAGCCGACGATTACGTGGGCCCCGAACAGCAGCTCAACAGACAGGCACGTATTCAATTTTGAGAAAGCCGCAACGCGCGGAATTTGCCCCGCAGAGAGAGGAAGACTCCGATGGGCTCTCAGTCTGATCCCTTTCGCCTCGGTGCAACGTCGTACTGGAAGCGTCTAAGAAAGCAGTGTTATTTCAAGGCCTCTTGCTCGAATATAGTGTTGACTCTGCAGATCTGAGCTTTGTCGGCATTGCAATATTACGCGAGTGATTCTGAAGCCTACTCGTGTGCAGGAGAGCGGTACGCCGTCCAGCGACCCCCCCCGCAGCCCTCGAGGCGAGCCGCGCGCGTCAAATGCGAACCCGGTGAGTGCGGAAGACGGTGAATTTGTGCCCGTTCCTGGTTTCGCTTTATCAGCAACGCAGGATAGGGAAGACTCGGATCTCCTGTCAGTTGGACTTCTCAAAACTTTCTTCTCGACGCAGCGTTGTACCAGAAGCCCTTGCGAATGATCTTAAATTCTAAGACCCTCTAGCTGTCCGCATCGAAGATTACACTCTTTGCAGACTTTACTTTCGCATCTGAGGCCTCTGGCCTGTACGCTGGGCCGCAATACTGGTGTGAAGCCGCAATACTGGTCTGAAGCCGCTATGTGTGCAGGCGAAGGAGACTGGTGCGGACGGCCCCCCTGGCATCTTGGACGACCCTGAGGAGGCGCGCACTGCCATCGCAGCTGTGAGCGAGAATGGACTTTCTGCCCAGTACTTTCCGACCAGTACTTCTGCCCCCGACGCATCGAAACAAAAATTTGTTCACCGCATCAGATAACACGAGATTCACAAAGAGTATTTATAGGGTCTTGCCGTTGCGCACCCCTCGTCTTGTGTCGGGTTGAATACACGCTTTTGACCGCCTCCACTGCAGGAGAACCAGCCCGCTGACCACCCGACGCCTGCTCCCACGAGCGCCACGAAGAAGGCCCCTGTCAGCGACGCGTCCAAACAGCGGTAAGCGCTGCACTCGTTCTGCCAATTGCGCACGCTCTGTTTGATATCTCCCTCGTAGAATCTGCTAATGGCTCATGAGGGTCTGCGAGAAATCTTACCGATGATACTATATCCGGTCCTTTTCGAAGCCAGACTTTCGCCTTCTTTCCACTCCAGGTTTTTTCAGGCCAGACTGCGCCGCCGATTGATTGCCCGAGCTGGTTCCTTATTGATAGTTGCGGTTCCTTGCGCTCTTTGTGGTTTTTCGGAAGTTGCAAGATACACAGAACGACAGGCGTTTGCCTAGCGACTCCTAAGCCCTTTGAAACGGATGGCTGCTCTTTGACCTCTTTCATCTTGTTCTCGCGACAGCCAAAGCCGAAGTCGGGCTGCGCGATCCAGGGGTGCGCGTCCGCGGCCAAGATGCAAGATACGGAGTTCTGCAGGGACTGCTCTCAACCCGTGCACAAGGAATGCGCGCGCGTGCAGCTGAAGAAGCTATACGGAGTGCCGCGGTACGACGGGGACGTGCTGTACTGCAGCGAACATATCGCCAAATTCAACTTCCGGAAGGTCAGTTGTTCTTTAACGGGCGGAAGGTGCGCTCTCGATCTGCCTGCATTCGCTTCAAGGGTCCGTGGCGAAGTTGCCTGCTCTCCTCTTTGATAGCTCCAGAGGTTCTCATCGAGTCAACTCTGATTAGAGGTCGGGGGAAGATCTTTAATCGAACACCCTGAAGTCTCTGAAACCTCGAGAGAGTCAGTTCTACCCTATCCTGACCCATCCAGATTTAGCTCAGAGACAAGCACGCAGCAGCCTGCCTAAGTTTCATGTGAGGGCGCGCGGCGAGTAATGTCCTGTTTTCAGTGAGAGCGTATTTACACCGGCTCAGTCTCTGGCTCACCAGCTGTTTTTACTTCCTAACACCGTATCTACCTTATTAACCCGTCAGTGAAGGTTCCGGACATGTCAGCAGAATTTGCGGATATAGGACCTACCGTTCTGAGCTTTTCTTGACAAGGGTTTGAATGGCCTGCCCAGACCCGCTTCAAGGCGACCCGTTCTCTTGTATCTAAAACGGCGCCAAATAATCTAGCTCGGCCAGTCACAGCGTGCCACGTGTCACCGCTTAACACTCTCGAGTGCCCTTCCCGTGAGTCACAGAGCTAGATTTCACGGAGATGCCAAGCCGCGCGATAATTAAGTGTAATTTTGGTCCGAGTCACGTCTCTCTAGCGACAAATCTTTAGCACTACACACATACTTTACTTCCTTTTGCAGGGGCTCGGCGGCAAGTGCGCGCTCCCGAGTTGCGACAAGGCGGGCAACATGACCCAGCACTGCTGCAAGACCTGCCAGGCGCCGATGCACAACCTTTGCTACCAGAATTTCCTACGCCAGGAGTATGGGAAGGAGGACTTCGACGGCGGCGCCTACTTCTGCAAGGTCCACGCAGGTGCTTTGGGCTTGAAGAAGGTAAACGCGCGACACTGCTCTGTTGCTCTTAACAGGATCCCCTTGTTTGTGTCCGCTCGCATCGGGGTTTTAGAGCGCGCGGCGCGCGCGCGTTGCATAGCAGTTGTCGGGATTTTAATCTAGGGTGCGCGCGCGACAGGAGAAAGAATAGACTTCAGTGGGCGCGCGCGCCCGGCCTCGAATAAGCGAATTTTATCCAAGCTCTGCTTCGGTGCGATTGTACCTCTTTTGTGATCTGTGCGTCTAAAATCCGCCGTTGGAAGTGCGCCAGAAAACACCCTAAAGCCATCTCTTGTCGATGTTCTGGTGTTCACTGAACTTTCCCAGCCCCCGGGTCGTTTTCGTATTGCTTCTTCTTGGCCCCTTCTTGCTGTGTGGTCGGGTGTATAATCATTCGTGACTTCACGATCAGCAGAGAATCTTCTGAATCGATCTCGCTTCCGTCTTTCCAGCTGACGACAGCATCCACGTCATCAACGGGAGTATGCGCGGAGACGCTCCTGGGCCTGTCGGAGCAGGAGGTTGATTTGCCGGTGAAGAAGCGGTCTGGGGAAAGCGGGGACGCCGGCGAGGAGCAGCAGAAGAAGCGGAAGGGGGGTGGGGACAGCATGAAGCAGGACAAGAAGAAGCGCAAAACTGGCCCGGAAGCGGAGAAGACGGACGGGGATGACGGGAAGGACAGCAAGACAGAGGAGGGGGGAAAGTCAGGGAAGGACGGAAAGGGGGGGAAAGGCGACAAACCCAGGAAGGAGCTCACGTCAGCGGAGCCAGAAACCGACCCACCCACGGAGCCGGTCGAGGACTCTGCGGCGCCGCGGCAGAGCATGCGCAAGGCGGTAAAGTATACGCTCATATGGAATGCCAGCCATGTGGTTCCGGACAAGTCAGTGGGGAAGAAGGGGGAGAAGCGGGCAAACGGGGGCGAAAAGGCCAAAAAGGGCAAGAAGAAGCGGAAGACGGCGGCCCCGGAGGACAGCGAAGATGAGATGAGCCTCGAGGGAAGCGCCGCGGAGTCCTCTGAGGAGGAGTCAGACGCCGAGGCGCAGACGGACCTGCCAAAGAACGGCGACTTCGAGGACCGGGACGAGAAGCTCTCGCCGGCGATGCGAAACAAGTATGAGATGATCTGCATGAAGGGCCTGGATGTGACCCAGTCTTACAAGGTAAGAAAAGCATCTTATTTGAGGAGCCGCAACTCGACAACGGCCGGGTTGAATTGCTTTCACTGCTTTCAAATGCCACGCCAGCGGTCACCATCTGCGAAGAGCTTGGCGGTACATTATCATTACCATTAGTACCGCACATATGTTTTCAGCGGGCTGTCGTCCGCGCTTGTATCGCTTGTTAGGGGGATAACTGAGTCAAACGGAGGTTACTGACCAGATTGTGGTGGGGCTAGGTCGGGGTTAGGGCTGGTGTTAGCGGAGGCAGGGTTTTGCTTTTCTGTGTCCCTGATTATCGAGGTTTGAGAGCAAATAAAGTGGCTTACCGTCTGGTCGACAACTCTGCCGGACGATTGTCGTTCAGAGAAGTTCCTCAGAGACGTGCATTCGTGTGTTCTTATGATCCCAACCATTTCCTCGCTCGGCACACCAGTGCACGCGACACTCACAGTCTCTTCCAGTCGGCATGCTTTGATTCTCCGTTGCGCCCATTCTTGCCATAAACACCTGAATCTCGAGGGTTCAAGAAAGATTGCTGTTTGCTGACGTTTACTTTTGTATTCGCAGCTGAGCACGGATACCCTCGTTAGCGCGATCAAGAAGCTCCAGATTCCGCACGTGTCCAAGAATCGCGAGCTGCCTGATCTGCCCCTCGAGTACCTGCTCAAGCTGCTGGCGGAGGGGCTCATCGACAAAAAGAAGATCGTGATCAAGGGCAACAGGTGGAGGGAGGACGCGACAGAGCTGCGCAAGTCGGACATCAGTCGACCTTTTTGTTAAGACTCCGGGTGAGTCACTTATACGAAGAAGGGTCCTCACTCTAGCGTGTGAGAACGGGAAAACCTGGTATTCAGAATTGATTTGAAGACATTCCTGAAATGAGACCAGACCAGCAGTGTCGATCGACGAAGTTCCCGCGAAAACAGTCGTGTCAGCGTAGCGCGCGCGCGGAGTTTGTACAGGCCGTCCCGCGCGCGCGGGGTTTCTGTCGGCGTCCCGCGCGCGCGGGGTTTGTGTCGGCGTCGCGCGCGCGCTCGCGCCAGCCGGGGTTTTGAATATACTGCTATCATCTCCTCATTACAACAATCCGTGGTTACTCGGGCACCGCGCGGGAAGGTTGGGACTTCGGTACTGCTGCGATTTTTTCTTTGTTTCGCGCTTGAGCCATTCTATAAACGTGGTTCAACGGTCTGACAGCGACAGAGGGCAGTAATTCGAGGCGCCTAGGTGCTTAGCGATACTCAGGCATCGCTCGTCTCACAAGGGCGGAGCACTTCGCGGATCAAAGCACAGTCATCTAAAACTACTGCCTTATGTGCCCAGGAAACGAGCAGGCCAGGTTTGCAGCGAGACAGACATGCAGCGCGCAGGCGAAATATCGTGTCGATATCAAACGAAAACCTTTTTTCGCGTCGGGCATCAATCCTCTCATCCATTCGTTCTTCCGTGCATGCAGATGTACAACGGCGTAGCGCATCAACATGAAGCTCACAGGCAGTTCAAGGCTTCCAAGAGCGTGGTAGATAGGCATCAGCTTACGCGTCAGCTGCGGCCAACGAGAAGCAGGACACATTGAGATACAAGGATATTTTCGTCGCATCCAGGTTGGAGGCCAATAGATGCAGAAAGAGCTTAGTTGTACGGGCAAGACTGAGCAAGGATACTGAGTCTCAGGCTTAGAGGTTGCTGTAACTCCTTATGACTGCTTCGATATTGATTGATCTTTCTTAGAACTCTCTTTTCGACGTCTTCCTGCTCTTCTCTATGCGCCAGCATGTCCCTGCCCGCTCATGTACGATGAGTTTGCCCGGTCTAATTGCCCAGCCACTTGCCCGCACATGTGAATGCGTTCCCCGGCGTTGCTGCCCTCCCTTGAGCGCAAGCTGCCCGGTTGTACTGCCCGCTCTTGAGCGCGAGCTGCCCGTTTGTGCTGCCCGGTTTTCGTTCGCGCTGCACGGAGATACGGGTAACCCCTGCCCGCTCGTGCTGCCCGGCCACGATCACCGGTCAAACGGCCCGCTGCCCGGATTTCGGCCGATGACCGGGCAGGAGGCCGGGGAACGCGCTGCCCGGTGAGCTGCCCGTTAACGGGCAAACCGGTGTTCCTCCCTGTGGTGGAGACCGCGTTGAGCTCTTGCTATAAACTGGTGCCTGTCAAGCTTTCCCTTGGGATAAATGTCGAGGATCTTAATTACGCAATGGTGCTCGCAGCTATTCCAATGGTGGGGATACCCGCCCTTTGCTTTGCTTACGTCGCGCTCGATGACCTTCTCTTCAAAGCCCCGCTGCCCGACCCTGGCAGCCTCAACGCCTTTCTCCAATCAAGCGGCCAGAACGTAACGCTCAGCCTCTGTACCATCAGGGACGCGTTTCAGGTCTATCTCGGTTTCTCAGACAGCTGCGACCAGGTTTTGGAGTCTCGCTATCCAGAAGCTGGCGCCTCCTTCGTGGAAATAAGGAAATACACCAAAAGACAGGCTTACAGCCATGGCTGGGAGCTAAGTGTTATCCTTTGTTTTGCTGGCATAATCTCATGCTACTCCTGGGTGCTTGCTTTCGGAGGCCTGCTTTACTACTTAGGGGGAACCGTACGCCTGCTTTGCTGTCAGCGACCTCAGGCCAAAGTGCACGATGTCGAGATGCAGGACGCTGCACTTTTAGATGATGACGACGGTAGTGACGGACTTGGTAGTGGGTCAGATCTGGAAGATTCTTGACGCGGGTGCTTACGAAACCTGAACGCGGAACTGGGTAAGGCCTCGTAAGGAAGCATGGTGGGTGAGAGCCAAAGTGACAGGTAAAAGAATAAACAAAGGTGCAAGCAAGGAGTTACAAGTGAAGAAAAAGAGCTCCCAAGCTACCGGTTTTCAAGAGCGTTGCATAGAAAGAAAACATGAGATGCAGCGATAATTTGGGCTCGAGCGAAAAGACTATCGTGAGGATACTTTCTACTGAGGTACATTCAATTTGATTCTGGATGCATCTAGTCAACACGTTTAATCTGTAATACACCAACTAGTTTTCGAAGGCTATCACGAGTTTTGGTTTTTCTGGGACCCTTTCGCTGCCATCCAATCGTCACCTAGCTCATTTCGTACTAAAAGTATATTCGTATTATGGTGCTTCATTATTCTTGCCCGCTAAGCAAGAGGTGTAATCGAAGGTAGTAAACCATACATAGGCTCCTAAAGTAACCTTATGCGCTATTGTCCCTGACGTTCTATGTCCTGTACATTTTCTGCACTCAATACTTCGAAGTCTAAGTAGCATGCTTGATGTGGGCGTCTCCACTTTTAAACGATCCAATTGGTTCCAAAAGTCGTTGTTGCTGCAGAGGTAAAACATTCTTCGTTTCATGCTCATGCGGTCTGGTGCAAAATCTTCTCAATCATGGGCAGCTGTATTTTTGCGCGCAATGAGTTGGTCAATTCAGGACTGTTTATGCCATCCCTGCCGAGTCGCGGGAGTTCGAACTCAATACCACGATGTCCGTTCTCTTGCATTTTGACGTTAATCCAGAAATGAAACCGATTCCAGGATGTAACGAAACCGACGCAAGCATCTCAAAGGCAGAACCCACATTCAACGGACACTAAGCTTTCGAATTCGAATGGAACTCTTTAACTCTCCCGGCTGGCGCTCGCCAATGGTTTCACGTAAGAACTTAAATTGTGTATGCCATACAGTATGGGCTTCTTGAAGGGTAGAGTCACCGCTTTCTTCCTGGACTGCAGCCTTCGCTAAACATGGGAACGACGTTGACCTGTTAACGTGGATCTATATCCAGATATGGGGCCGGACGCGCTCGCGCCGCGGCGCGCGGCAGGGTAAGCAAAAGCCGCGCACGCCGGCGCATCGGGGGTCGCGAAGGGCCACCGGGCGGACGTATCCGAGCGGACGCATAACCGTGACGGTCGGACGTCTTTCTGCGCGGCCGCCACGCGCAGGCCGCCCTCTTCGTCCTTCCAAAGCCTTTTCAATCCTAAGCTGGGCCAAACCATTCAGCGAACGCGAACGCGAACGCGCGACACGCGAACTTCAGCATCTAACGCGCTGCTTACTTGCCATAGATCAAAGAAGCGGCTGGACGTACATCCTAAGACTTTAGCTGCGGTGAGGAAAGGATGACGGCCTTCAAGGCTTCTGGCGTGTCACTTTGGGCTGCCAGCATTTTGGCCATTCTCTTGGCGTTTGTTCAACAAAGCGAGGCTGCAAACTTTACCGTGGAAGTGACACTTGTTCACATGAAGGTCAACGGCACCACCAGCTTGCCTGACCCAGGTCCCCTAAACGACTTTCTCCGGCAAAACGAGAGTTTGTTCAACCAATTATTTCCAGACCCTCAGCCCCCCTTGCAGCTGCAGAAATGCAACGCAACCATATACCAGATCAACGCGTTTGAATTTTACACGCTCCAGCATCCGAGGGGGTGCGAGAGCGCACCGGGGCTCGCTAAGGATCCTGCGCAAGAGAGAATGGTGCGCAAGTATGACAAGATTGTGGGAATCTGGGCAGTGGCCGTGTTGGCTTTGGTGATCCTCCTAGGCTGCGTGTGGCTGGTTAGCCCAAAGTTCGCTGCAGGCGTTTGCCAGTGCCTCGGAAAGATGCTAGTGCCCCCCCGTTATGGTAACCCTCAGTATAATGAAATCTGGGTGCTCGGTTTCTGCTTCCTCTTCTTATGCACCACGCTGCTTGGCTGGTTTGCAAGCTTCATCACGGGCATAGTTGTGTACGGCGCATTCATTGGCGTCAAGCACTTAGACCCAGCGAAGCTACCTGACCCAGCTAGCCTTAACCAATTCTTTTTAAACAGAAACCAAACCGCCACCCTCTACCAGTGCACAATCCGAGACATGTTCGAGGTTTACGTTGGGTTTGCTGACAGCTGCAATCAGTTGCAGAGCTGCATTTACCCGGGAGTGGCACGCAAGGATGGGCCACCCCCTTTCGCTCACGGAGGCGGAGTAACCTTCGTAATGATGATGGCATCAGTAATCACTTACGCATCCTTTCGGGGACTCTCTACTGTTGCTGCTGTTGCTGGCCGATTACTAAGAGCACCAGGAAGGTCTTTCGCGAGCGCAAGCAGGTGCGGAGTGTCGAGTTGCGGGCTCCAGATGGGTCCGCAGTGTAGGCCGGATAGATCAGGAAAAGCGCTCTCTTTCGTCCTCTTACGTTAATAGCGTAAGTTTCAAGAACGGCTTGCAGTTAAGGCGTTACGTATTCACGTCAGAAGTAGATTTGCTTCAGACCGGTCATGACCTCTCGGAAACGAGTCGTAAGAACAGAGTGCAATGAAGTGAGCTTTGGCAGCATACAGGCATGATTACTTAACTTGAGTCTTGATTATTGAGGCGAGAGATCAACGCTAGAAAAGCGAGGTGAGTCATGAAAACAGAAGCGCTTCTGTGCGCTTTCTTTTAAAAGCCGTACGCTAAGCATTACCATCAGATTGGGTACATCATGTATACTTCTAGGTTCGAGTCTGTAGGAAGAAGTAGCAGTCCGGTTTGCGTGGCGGTCTTTGGGCCCTTGTCAAGCGTGTACAACATAAATGCCTGGCGCGTTTGGAGTTGCTATCTGTTTATGTAAGCTTTGATCATTCAAATTCATGCAATCAAGCAAAGGGCTTTGACACACTCATCCCTACCCAATGGCGATCAAAGTGTTTCGCTTATCGTATTATGAGGTGAGGGGCTCTTGGGCTATGAGCTACTACTCCTTGAGTCGTGAAAAAGCTATGACTGCTCATGTGGTTTTGATTGCGCCACGTCTCACAACAGCTTCACGTTCCGGCTGTTTCCTGATAAGCACTCATGAATGTAATGGTATTGAGAAAGGCTCTGAATAGCTTCGAGAACAGGATGATGCTTAGAACAAGTCCACATGCTTCGTAGGGTGGTTGTAGACTGGCGCCACCACCCAAATGCAAACCTGCTACTAAGGCTCTTTACTTGGACTCGATACTTCTCTACATCAAACTAAAAAGCGTCAAAGTCAAAGTCATTCAAACACCAGGAAGATAACAGAATTGCATCTACAGGTTTCGCACACGCCGATCATCATGAACGCATCATGCAGCAGAATCAGAAACGTGTATGCTTATAACGCTTGGGTAAGGTTTCACCACAGCTTTATCGAACCCTGATTCTCCAGAGCCTTTTACTTTGCAGAAACTTGATCCGTATTAGCAGATCCCGCTGTTATTGCCGTTTGCCAAGAACGGGTCCGAAAGGCAACAGCTTAATCCATTTGTCAAACGAATTGCCGTTCAATGTTTCTGCCGCACGCCAATACAGTGAGAGCAGTGGTCCTCCAGTTCAGACTCCATTAGAGCTTCGAAACCTCCTCAAAGCTTGCGTAAATCTGTGGAAGTTTGAGTGGTAGCTTAAATGGGTCGCCCAGCTGCGCTTGTCGGAACTTTCTCATGAATTGTTCTAGTGGCCGGTTGTACCAATAGTCTGAAGAGAGCGGGGGAGAGCCACGCCATCACGTACGTCCTGAAACGCTGATAAGATCTGGGGCTCGATTTCAAAGATCTGACAAGACGGGCTTTCACAAAAACGCCGGGTTCTCAATTTCAGTATGAGGTTCCGAAAGTCACAGCAACAAAATATATCTTCAGACGTTCTGCTGTTCTGCTGACTGAGAAGTGGCCTGCAAGGGAATAGAGGGTTCCAACGCGCGAATGGTAAGGATCCTTGCAGAATGCTCAAGCCCAGCGCGCGCGCGAGCTCGGCGTGCTCGTGGCGGCCAGCGCATCGGCCCTTGGATGCGCGGCCGCAGGTCGCGCAGGGTTTAGGAGCCTTCAAATCCACCCCGCCGCGTGCTAGCACAGAAAGATAGAAAGTGCGACCGCGACGCCACAGAACGCGGCCACTCTCTGCTCAGCGGGGAGGCGCAAGGGAAGGCGGTCTTACTAATCATTAGTAAGAGCAAACCGGCAAACAGCCTTGGCGGCCGCTCGAGCAGGGCCCCGGGGGGGTAAACGGCTGGAAACGGCCACCCCCAGGAAAGTGAAGGCGGTGCAAAGCATGTTAAACTTCCATACTGCGACCGGACAGCAGAGAAGCAGCCCGGACGGCGGTGACGTCAGCCAGGAAGCGATGGTGCGTCAGCTGGAGGAAACGGAGGTGAGCCGTTGATCGGAAGAGCGTTAAGCACGATACCATATTTTCCCGATTCACTGGAAACAAAAGTGTGGCGGGGTTTGCCAGATGCACGTTTTGTTATTCTTGTCCAAAACAGACGAAATGTATAACGCGGCCTCTCTCAGGGGCGGAAACCGTTCCTGAGCGCGAACTTGTGTCCGATCAACAACCTGATTTCAAACCTGAGATATCCATTTTTGCCAGGAATCTCCACACAATGGAGATTGTCCTTCATCAGAAACCCCTCGGAAGCGCCATGTAGGTAGGATGTCCCCAAAACTTTGCTCGAGCGAAACCCACCGAAACACATCACAGGATTCGAAGCGCCCGGCAAAGGCCTCGCACAAGCCGCGGTACACGTGGCGGTCCCCTCGGAACACCCGCGAGTACGACGACTCGAACGCGGACAGGGCCTCCACGGCGGCGCACGGGCTGCTTCAGAGTGCGGCGGGAGGTCGGCGTGGGGCGCTTCTCCTCCGTCTACCAGGTGCGCGCGCGCGCGCGCGCGCGCGGCTGCTGTGATGCCTCTCTCAGTTTCATCTCTGTATGTGGATATCCAAAGGACGCTTTGTACACTGTCTGCCTTTTCAAGGTTGTCCGCCTGTTATTGTCCCTTCTTTAGTTCTTTTTTGTTTCTACTTTCGAGAGGGCGATACTCGGACGCTTACCATGAGGTGCGCGCGCACGCGGCGCTGCGGCGTTGAGTTCGCCAGACCTTAACGCGCGAACCTACTCTGCAGACCTTTCAAAAAAGCTGAGCAGTCTCAGTCTGAGAGACGCACCGTAGAGACGACGTGATACCAGCTGTCGCCCTGAATGGGCTGGTGTTGCGCACTACACCTGTCCATTTTTAGTCATTACACTTGTCGACAGGCGGGCGCGCGCACCGCGGCCCCCACGCGGATATGCGACGGAAGCGCGGTCGCTCTCCACAGCTCATCCGAGCCGGAAGGACGCGCCGTAATGACTTGTTATAACCGGCCTTCAACCGGAGCGTCACAAACTTGAACCTCTAGCATTGCAGCAAGCTCGCGAAGCACCGAAGCTGGACAAAAGCGGGTAGCGCCTGAACGTCCAAATCACAGGTCGAAAGCGCCACAAAGAAGACTCGTCCTGGGCAGCCATGGCGACTTTCAGACACGGCAGCTGCTCCTTCCCAATGAAGATCTGCCTTCTCCTCCTCGCTGGTGCGTTTGTTTCCACCGGGGAGGCCGCTGACATCACTGTGGAGGTGGCGCTTGTTCACATAGAGGTGAACGGAACGACCAGCCTGCCGGACCCAGGTCTCCTCAACGACTTTCTTCGAGAGGACGCGAGTTTGTTCAACCCTCTCATTCCAGACCACCCCCCATTCCAGCTGCAAAGGTGCGGCTCGCGTCTGTTTGAGACTCCTTTCGACTTCTACACGATCCAGCATCCGGGGGGATGCGCGCGCGCGCCGGGGCTGTTGAGAAACCGGGAGAGAGACAGGGCGCTGCATACTTTTGACATGGTCGTATGGATCTGGGCGGCGGTTGTTCTGGGGCTGATTATCCTTGCCTGCGTAGGCTGCTGCGTGAACAAACCGTTTGCAACGGTTGCGGGGAATTACTTCGGCCAGCCGACAATCCCTGACCGCGAGTCATTATGCTCCCCTGGGCCTTCAGTGGGCAATTGCACGGCCTTTTCCCTGCTCGTCGGCGTGGCTTTTGGCGCAGCTTTGTATGCGATAATCAGTCACCAGTACCTGAACATGGTAAAGCTCCCCGACCCGGCGCCGATCAACCACGTACGTCTTCGCTTCCCACGGTTACAACACCACCCTTTACCAGTGCTCGATCAAGGAGAGATTCCAGGTCTACATCGGCTTCGCAGAGAGCTGCGACCAAGTCCAGAACTACACCTACCCGGAAGTGAAACCGATGTCGGAGTTCAACCCACCCCTAGTTCACGGACCGGGTTTCACCACGCTCATGTGCTTCGCCTCCGGAGTTACTTTTTCTTCGTGGACCCTGCTGGTCCTACTAGCGCTCTCCTTCTGCTGCTGTGGAGGGGCCAATTGCTCATTTCCCGAGGACCCAGATGAAGGCCTGGATGACATAGCGAGGTTCCGAAAGCTGCAAGGACTCAATCCGGACGGGAGCCCTAAATTCGAGGTTTACAAAGGAAATCTGGGCGTGTAACCATGATGGTTCTGGGCTGGCTATGAGCTGGTTTCAAAGTGCTCAAGTGCCCAGTAGCCAGGCTTGGGCCGTAACCAGCCTTGGAACAAGGTTAGATCCCAGTTACTGTCCATTGATCTGAGACTCGAGTCTGGAAATTCAGCAATATGGTTAGCAGCCAGAACTTCTTGTGTAAGGCGCGTTTCGGCAGCATCAAGAACTGTTCAAAAGCGCCCGTATAGTCACATTGAGTTCGTAGAAAGGGCGTGAAAAGCTTCAGATGAGAGCCGCCGAAGACTTTGTGCGGCATACTATCACCTTGGATCGTTCGTACCTAGTTACGTTGAGAAGTAGATAACTTTCTTAAAGAGCTAGGTTAGGGTAGATTATACGGGACAGCAATACCCCAAGGTTAGCGTCACTCGTCCTGCTTATTTTGTCGCTTTGGATCTTACCAAATAGGTTCAGAGTAGAACGCATTCTTCAAGTTAGTCAAGATTGCTCCCGTCAAGCGGTCGTGATCTTCAGACTGAAGTCCCCTGTCGCAACCCCCTGTCGCTTCCATCAGTAGCTATTTAGCGCCTTTCCAATCGTTCCGTGCGCATCTCAAGCTGAACATAACTGGGCCGTCCAATCAACTTTTCCTTTTCTGCTTCTGAACCATCTCAGACCATCTAGTAAGTGCAGTTCGTTTGCCATACTGAGTGTCGTTTGATATCAGGTGATGATCATAGCCCCCCTTAATGGAGTCAGGACTCTCAGGCTCTTCTTAGCGATTGCATTTCTGGCCCTTCACTGATCTATCATACCGTCTTCCGCACTGTCCAAGTAACGTGTGACATTGAAAATTCAATTGATGCTAGATCAGCATAATGATAAGGAACGGTCCTGAGAATTTCTAGCCCACCAAACATGTATATATAGCGCCCAGCCTGACTACACCAACATATCGACCTGACTCACCATATGTGTGATCCTGATAACTCCTATCAAGCAATGTAAGCACTGGCATGCGCCCAGCTATTTGATCGAGTCACTCAAAACTGTCGCCACTTTCACGACCGTCATATCATAGACTTTGAGTCTTTCATTGTGATGCATGCCATGCAGGACGGTAAAGCTATGCAAACAACTGCATGGACTTTAATCGTGTAATCGCATCACTACGATCGTGCGGCGCGTGATCGAAGGCTTAATTGCGAGTGCGACAAAACGTCCACACAATGATGGTGTTCAAGGCCAAGTTGCAGTCTACTTGCGTCCTTTATCATGCGTGGCATCCCGCCAGAATCCCATCATATGTGTGCGGGCACTTGCCGACGATCAGCGCCAGCAGCCACTCGAGGTCCTCTTTGACAGCCGCCACTTCCGCTTCCGTTCCCAGGGCGTCCGTTCCGCTCACGCTCGACACCGTCACCGCCCCGCGGAACCTGTCGACGCGCATCACGTGGGCGATCCGCGTGGGGTTTGCGGAGCTGGGCAGGGCGGTGTTCAGGGCCGGTTCGGAGCTGTTTATATATTAAGTAGACGGTTATGTCGTTTGTGAAGAAATCAGGCGGCAAACAAACAGCCCCTGCAAGGAGACGGCGGTGAAGGGAACCACGACGGTTTACTTCACAGTCACCGATGGAGGATAGCGATGATTCATAAAGTTGGAAGAAGCTACTACAACAAGTGTGCAGGTTTTAGTACCGCCTCCTTACACCGCCAGAAAGGAACGCAAAATTTTGGGCTTACATCTTGCGCCAGAAAGCATACGACCAGGAAAACGGAAGGTCGAAAAGATTCACGTGGTTTGATTGGAAGGAACTGGCAAACTCAGAGGATTTTTCCTTTTGGTTAAGGTCCTAAGAAAAGAAAGTTAGTGAATGTGGTTTCTCGTCCAGGAACGCAATCTGAAGTGTACGTGAAACCAGATTCAATCCCCGACTTTGTTTTGAGTGGGTGCTCGAGCACGCGGGGTGAGCCGAGACATCGAGTCTCGCCACTCGTTTTATCGTTTGCATGATGAGTAGAGCGATCTATTTCTTTATGTGAGTGATATATTCCTTTATCCGAGTGATCCGGTTTACGTGACCGTCGCAAAATTAGGAGCATGATGACCGCATAAACAACGATGAACACCTTCTACTGTTGGAAAGGAGACAATCGAAAGCCGCTGTGGGGCTGTCACAACCATTTTCTGGGCTGAAACGCGCGACAAAAATGTTGGAAAGCAGGTCCTGAGAGACAGGTCTCGACAACAGGAACCGTGCAAAAGTAGAATACAAAGCCCCAGATCTGCTTTTCCAGGTTCGGAAAAGCGATGCGCAAACGAGGAAAAAGCGGGGCCCGTCTCATTCCACAGCTCGCGGAGACTTGGCCGAAGAGCTGGCCGCTTCGAGCACCCGTGCTGACGTCAGCGCTCGCTTCACTTACTTGAGCAGGGGTCTACACGCTCGAATCCCCTGTTCTGCCTTTGCTGCTCCGGCAAATGCAACCGGGGCCCGACCATCTGATTCTCCCGGTCTTGGTCGCGCTGGTGCCGCCGCCCACTGCATCTTCCAGGCCAGGTGTCTGACCCTCCGACCCCCCAAAGTCCGCATCGCTAGCCCCGCCAACTCAAATCGAGGCCGGCCGTTTGGACCCCCGGTCAGCTTGCCTCCCCCGCCCTGACGCCATTTGCCCTGCCGCGCACCCCCTCAAGCGGAAATGTGGCCGTTAAGACCTCAGTGTTCGTCTCTCTGGGCGCTCCCCCTCCTACTGCAGGGGGCTGCCCGGTTTGGCTCCCCGGTCGGCTGCCCCCTGCCGCGCTGACGCCGTTGCTTCGCAGCACCCCCCCAGGGGAGTTTCTGGCCGTTCGATCGAGTCCGCCTCCCTCGGCGCTCCCCCGGGCTGCCTTTTTGGGTCCCCGGTCGGCCTTCCCCCGACCCCGCCCCACGCTGCCGCTCACTGCTCGTCCCCGGTCAAGGGTCTGGCCGTTCGAGCCCCCGGTTCAGCTTCCTCCGGCCGCTTCCACGATGGCCCGCCCGGCCGGCCTGTCTCAGTCCTGCTCGCACCCCCGCTTGCCTCACCCCCCCAATCAAAAAATCTGGCAGTTCGATCCCCCGAGTCCACTTTCTCCGGGGGCTCCAACTCCAACCGGGGGCTGGCTATCCCCCATGCCAGGCCGGCCTGTCCCCTGTCCCGCCCGCACTCCCGCTCACCGCAAGGTCCCCAACGAGAAGTGGTTCACTTTTTCTCCCTGCTGTGCTCAGGGATCCGTCAGCCGAAACCCCCCGGTCCGAGGGTAGCACTCTTCCCGATCGAACTGGTCATGGCTCGAGATCTGCGAGGCCTGTGTTCCGAAATGGAAGGTCAGACGTTATTGAATGCGGGGCGGCTTCTCGGAAGCATGGCAAGTACGGCATGGTAAAGAAGAACCCGGCATTTTCGGCCGCCTCAAATATCCACCAAGCGTGCTCGTTCGGATTGCAAGTGGCAACGAAAAAGAGAGGCAGAAAAGCGACGATCGTCGAGGAGCGCAGAACAGCTCTGAAGAAAAAGGGAGCGGGACTCAAGAGAATCTGACCTTGCAGGAAGACAATGTGGGAAGGGAATTGTGCTTGCCCCTCAAGCAAATGTGGGCGGCCAATCGGGAACGAGGGGGCGGTTCTCAAAGCTCTCATTTCGGCTCGCTTTGCATCTGCAAAGAATGCAAGGACGAAAAGGGGTCAGGGGGCTCAGGCTAGCGCAAGCCCTGGTCCCGGGGGCAGTCCTCGCAGCACGCAAGGGTGCAAAGCGCTCTGCCATCTACTCGATAGGCTGCTTTGCAAGGTGACGTCAACGTCCTGCAAAAAGCCCTCATCTTTGAAATTTGGACCAACGCGCTGAGCAAAGCACGAAGGTGGGGGGGACAAGGAAAGCCCAGAATGTCCCTGAGGAGACAAAAGGTCTATGCCCCCGCCACTGCCTTTGCGGTAGTACGTGGGAAAAGAGTAGACTTCATTTGTATGCAGGAGCTTGAGCATTCCAGCAAAGGAACTTGCAGTCTGCAAAAAATGAGGTCATCAACATGGCAGTTAAGCGAATGTGGATTGAGTGACGTGCTCGAGACAACGCGCCCATCTGATCCAGGACGCCACACTCGTATGTTTCTGGATACTGTTGCGCAGTACTGATCAAGAGGAGGTGTATCAACTGATGTAAGCACAAGTCGGTCTTACACCTGGTAACCGTGATTGATCATAGAGCGCAGCTTCTGATACCCCCCACCTGTCTAGCCTCACCTTAATAAAGATTGAAGCATCCCTTGCTTGCAAGGTTCTGAAGGTTGACATGAAAAGACCATCACCGTAGAAACCCACCTGCACTACAATTGTGCGCTTCTGCCAAGCTCATGACTTTAGATTCCTCCAAGCTTTGGAAAAAAGCTTGGAGGACAAAGGCTGATCGCGATTGAATTACGTGGCGCAGCTACTGCAACATGTTCAAAGTCATCACATGTAAATTGTGTAGGACCTGCAAGCAGACCTCACAGACCTGCGCAGACCAGGCTCGTCTTTTGATATCTCTGGACATTGAACAGCGAAGCCTGGCCGGGATGCGGAGAAGTTGTCCAGGCGCTACTAGTGGTGCTGATGTGCTGATCAACTCCGAAGGCCCAATGGCAAGGGTGATCCCCCGGCGACGATTCCCAAGTCTTTTTTAAGATTAGATTTTAGGGTTTTTTTTTACCCTAACCTGAAGTTTTAATCTTCGAGTTTGGGAGTCTTCGAAAACGACACCATCCGACTGCAGGTAGAGCCAGGTATTCGAACCCGTGCATTTTCCTGTTCCTTTCCCGTCTTGCAACGGCGACTCGTGGCACGGAGTGGTTCTCCGGGCGAGAGATTTTATGGTATTGTGTCAAGCTTAGGGACTTCATAACCTGTACAGGCTGTCACCACAGTTTGAATCTACCTATTAAACGCAAAAGTTGCTGTGCATGGACCGCATCTGACAGGTGTCAGGATGATCCCTGTAGATGTTGTCATTATCATTAAAATGAGAGGGCTCCCGGCTTGGGCTCAGCTTCCTTCATTTTTGCAGAGGGCCAGGGCCCAGGGGGCAGGGGCAAGAAAGCGCCGCTTAGACGCGATGGGGGCCCGCAGTCTCTTGGGCGCCTGGCATGTGTCAGCCTTCTCAATTGTCCTAATTGCTGCGGCGCTGTTTGTCCAGGGAGGGGAGTCGCTGACGGTTGAGACCACCTACCGCGTTCACGTGAATGGCAGCACCAGCTTGCCGGATCCAAGTCCTCTTAACGCCTTTCTGCTGAGTCACAGCACATCGCTTAACCCGCTGCTGCCTGACCACCCTCCAGTCCAGCTGCAGCTCTGCAACTCCAGGGTTTATTCCCAACCCTTTGATTTCTACACGCTGCAGCACCCGGGGGGTTGTGCCAGCGCACCAGGGTGGATAACGAGCAAGTCAGTAGGTGCGAGGGTGCTTGAAGCAATCTGGCTGGCATGGGGTGCGGTCCTTGTAGCTGGGCTGGTTCTCACTTGGGTGATTCCCTCCAGGATGTCTGCTCTTAAGGGATGGGCAGTCCGCTGTTGCTATAGCTTGGTGCCCGCCAGTCCGGAGCGCATAAAGATTCCAGCAGACATCATTGCGGCCTCTCCATGCCTGAGGGTAACCGCGGTGTTTCCATTGTTTATCCTGATAGCCCTTCTCAACTTTTCATACGCTGCGATGGACAAACTCCTCCCAGCCCCGCTGCCCGATCCTGCCAGCCTGAACGCCTTTCTCCATTCCAGCGGCCAAAACATAACGCTCAGCCTCTGCACCATCAGGAGAGACTTTCAAGTCTACATAGGGTTCTCAGACAGCTGCAACCAGCTGTCAGCCTCCCTCTATCCAGATCTTAGCACCACATGCGACGAAACAACAATCGACACCAGAGTCCAAGACACTTTTAGTCATGGCTTGGCAGTGGCCATTTTGACGTTCTTTGCCGGCTTTTTCACATGCCTCTCCTGGCTGGTTATCGCCATAGGGGCACTTGCATACTTTGCAGCGGTCGTATACTTTTGTTGCTGTGGCCGACGTCCGGGCAAAGTGCACGATGTCGAGATGCAGGACGCCGCCAGCACATCAGGTCTGGTCGTCTGATGAAGAGACACTTGTGCGGGAAGTCTTGAGGAGGAGTATGCATGTGCTTTTTAGGCCTTCTTGAGGTGGAACCATAAGGCTTGTATAAAGACAGCACGATAGTTCACTAGCAAAGGCTAAGAGCCACAATTTGAATGACATAGGCTTGTATTTATAAATAAGTCCCAGGGTTGTTGTCAAACTTTCAAAGCACAGAGTAATCATAACTGGTGTAAAGTACTGAGGTACGTACACGGACAGAACGTCGGACATGTTTGGAGAAAGTTCAGGGCTGTACGTTTTGCAGACACACTGACAAGTACGAGTCTGAGCAAGGGCCGGAATGCTTTTTCTTCTTCTACTAACTTTTGATCCACCTAGTATGTACAAAATTTTCGTAAACTCTGTTCGTCATACTGAGTCAGTGTCGTTTACCATTTCGTACTATCTAGCTAGAGCCCCTGGTGGGATCCGGACTCCCTTTTCGATGATCATTTGCAGTTCTGGCCCTCTGTACTGATCCATCTGTCACAGCCGCCCGTCTTTCGCAACATGAGAACGTGTGAAACAATAAAACTAACTCTGATAGATTGCACTATGATGATCGAGGTCCCGAGCTGAGCACTTAGTCCATAGAACTTTCTCACCAAGCATGTGCATGTCTAGTGCCCAGCCTGAGCTGATTAGTAAATACTCAACGTACGCGGTAATCACCGACCTACTCAGTACCTGTGCTCTTGATGATTCATGGCAGGCACATGCGGCACGGGCGAGCAGGTTGATCAAATCAAATTGAGAGTGTCGCCATATGCACAAGTTAAGTACGATCATGTATAGACGTTGAGCCGCACCGTTCATTTACATGTATGCTGCACAATAATCAATTTAACTCTGCAAAGTCCTGCATGGACGGATATGATCTCGTGACTCGTTCATTGCTGCGAGCACGCGGCGCATGACTGAATGCTCGAATGCAAGTGCGACAAAACTTGAAACCACACACTAATGATGGCCGCGCTACTCTCAGGTGTTCAAGGCCTCGTGGCGGTCTAGCTCCATCTCTTATCATGCGTGGCATCCCGCCAGAATCCCATCATATGTGTGCGGGCACCGGCCGCAGATCAGCGCGAGCAGCCATTCAAGGTCCTCTTTGACCGCCGCCACTTCCGGTTGCGTTCCCAAAGCGTCCGTTCCGCTCGAGCTCCACACCGTTGCGGCCCCGCGGAACTCGCCGATGCGCACCACGTGTCCAGTCCCCACGTGAGCAATCTCCGTATACCAGAGCGAGATTGTGGGGTTTGGGGGGGTGATGAACCTGGGCAAATCGGCCAGGGTTCGGTTTGGGGCAAGTTTGAATCCGACGGTCATGTCGTGTGTGAAGACGGAGATCAGACGGTAGAGAAACAGCCCCGACGAGATGGCCGCGCACAAGGGGACCATCTCGCCTCCGACGTTCTCAGGGCACGCCTGAGGAAAAGGAGACAGATTGAGTCTGTAAGTGATTCAACAGGAGCTAGGCATAATGATCGGAGGACTGGAAAGTCGACAAAGTCGATTTTCAGCTGAAGCATCCGCTCGTTGGCTTCCATTATCCACACGGAAGCGAAAGACTGCTTCACTTGGTATGCGGAAGTGACGGAGAGCGAGTGGCCGCATGATCCATAGGGTTCGTTCTTCGATAATGTGCTGAAACTCAGACCGCGTTTAGGATATCTTCTTAGAGAGCAAGAAGCACTTCCAAAGCCCTTCAACAGAAACCGTTGGCTGCCGGCGTGCTCAAAAGCGAAGAAGAGGAAGAACGCTATCATCACAAAATCATTACGAAGGTACTAATGCAGATGGTTGCAACATTACCTGATTGGTTGATACACGCTCGGAGAAGTCCTGAAGCTTCTCCTCAAGTTCGCAAATGCAGACTCTTCTGGACGGAGGATCAACGGTGACCGTGAAGCTCTCCTGATGAGTCCGTTCCGATCTGCAGAAGACAATCAGGTGGATGCATTCTAGCTTCGAGATGCTTCCGAGCTTACTTTACACTCCGAATCCTGCTTCGCCTTTCCGCGGGCAAGCTGGCTCGCCCGCCTTTGATATACTTTGATACACAGCTATTGTCTTCTGCCGCTCAGGCTCGGGCATCGCTAGGCTTAGACTTGCGCTTGGTGACGTGGCTCCACTAAACAAACTGAAGCAGGAGCGTCACATACACCTGGAAAAGCCGGAAGTGTCATAGGCAAGAAGGACGCTTCATCGGGTATGGCTTGCTTCGGAGAGAATTGAAAGCATACCAAAATCATTTGTTCCAGCTTTGGCGAACGAGTAGAACAGCAAACAGGCGCCAGTTGGCCCTTACGTGTCAGGTTCTGGCACCGTCGTCCAGCGCTCGCGCACCCGGACTATGTTGTCGCAGTCTTCTTGCGAAGCACCCTGGGGCCCTGCGTAAACCGGGTCCACCACATACCGCTCAAACTGCACGTGCAGTTTGAGCGGTATGAGTCTGCTGAGGACCTGGTGCACCAGGTCCTCAGCAGACATCCTGGACCAACGGCCGACTAGACAGGCGAGAACGAGCCCAACCAGAATGACGGTAGCCCATGCTAGCCAGATTGATTCAAGCGTCTTAGCAGCTGCTGGTTTGCTCCTTATCAGCCCCGGCGCGCTGGCACAACCCCCAGGGTGCTGCAGCGTGTAGAAGTCAAAGGATTGGGAGTAAATGCTAGAGTCGCAAAGCTGCAGCTGGACTGGAGGGTGGTTAGGTAGCAGCGGGCCGGGTTAACCGAACCACTCTGCTTACGCAGGAAGGCGTTCAGGAGACTTGGATCCGGCAAGGTGGTGCTGCCATTGACGTGAACAGTGACCTCAAGCGTTAGCGACTCCCCTTCCTGAACAAACACCGCAGCGATAAAGACAAGCTTGAAAAGGGCTGACAACTTCCAGGAGCCTAAGAGACTGCGGGGCGCCATATTCGTGCCTCAGCGGCACTTGTCCTGCCCCGAGTCTAGCCTATGCGACAGAAGCGCCCAAATCGGTTGCGTCCGGCCAGCTTGCAGTTCAGTCTGAATCACGATTGGTCAGTGCTGACACAGAGGCCCCAAAGAGGATCGAAAGCCGCGTCTCCGCGCGGCCGCACTTCAGCGGGTTTCGAGATTCTAAATTCCCGGCCTGAGCCATGATACTGAGCGGCCGCCGTAAATGCGCAGCCGCGGCCCGGCCTGCCGCGACACCGCCGCACGCAGCGGTCGATGCGCTAAGTAGGCGGCGCCGTCGTTCGAATTGAGAGATTCAAAGCCCAAGGGAACGGATACAAACGTACGTACGATGGTACGACGGTACGTCCTGGCGGGCCTCCATAGACAGGGTTACCACTTGCGAGCTCCGAGCTGCATTCGAGTGCTTCCGAGTACTGTTCGTGTGTCCCCGGGATTCTTGGTTGGACGAGGCCAAAATGTGTGGTCATTTGCAGGACGCACAAGAGTTACTCGACTGCTTACGGTCAAGAATGCAATGATCAGTCACAAAACCTCGCCAACTGAGACGGGCGCGAAACAAGCAAAGCAATGACCGCCAGACCGGGGCCAGATCTCAGCACTCAAGGACCGAAAGATTCTTTTTGACCGCCATCCCTTTGCCCTGCTAGTGCCTGTAAATTACAAGAGCTTGACGGAGATGCAGGAGATGCGTTGCTTTACTGCTTTACTGGTTTACTGCATGCTTGTGACCCGTTTTAGATTCACAGCACCAGTCCGGTCTCGCTTCAGGAACAAGCCAATCATGTCACAAGTTCCACCGGCGTATTATGATGCGAGCCGCATAATGGTTCGCGGCAAGCTCGCAGCGCCGTTCGTTGCATAAGATTATACTTCAGTAGATCTGCGGGGAAAACAGGAACGCTACAAGATTTGCAAATGCTCAAGCAAAACGGCTTTTGAATCAATGCTTGAAAGTAGTCTCAGGCTGTGTCGACCTGGTGCGTCAATATTGAGCCGTCGGATGGACGTTCGTCTGGTTCCGCATTGAAGATATGCGCGAACAGGTCGCAGTGACTTGGAATTGAAGGGGTGGAATCAAGGCCCACGCTAGTCGGATCTGCCCATAGTCGACTCAGGAAACGCACCTATGATTGCTATTCGGCTGAAAACATGGATGGGCAAATATTAAGTACTCGGAAACTCATTCTCAGATGTGCAATATACTCGGCTGGCTACCTCCGGAAACGCATACATCTGCTCGCATGTCGCACTTCCCTATTCATTTGCATCAACGACACAGAGTCCGGAGTACTTATGATTTCCTATTACCGATTGGTCTGTAGAAAGCGAGATGGTGCAGGGGATACGAGGATGAATAGCAAGTCAACAGCCCACCAGCTTTTAAGCAGGCGCTTTTTGCCAAGCAGTCGGAAGTAGGACTTTTTGCAGCGCTTCGCTACCTCAGTTCTGATTACGATTTTGAGGACCCGACTTCACTTGATTATCATTCCGTCTCAATTTTGGGTCCTAACCAGAAGCTCGCACATAAACCTAATGGGCAGCACGGTTCTAAGAACGCCCTACAAAAACACTTTAGTTTTGAAAGGGAAGTTATACGGCTTTGCCCACAGGACGTCCATAACATGCGAAGGGCGTCAGATCAAACGAAAGAAGGAAATTGCACCGCTTCTCTGCCTGTCAACTTTGCTGCTATTTGGAGAATCCTTCAAAAGCTGTCCAGGAATCCACCTAATAAGCAAAGTCTGATCTGCCACGAAGTATTGGATTCGGATTCAAAGGTGCCCGAGCTATCAAGTATGATAAGCAACGTTAACGAAACAACTATAAGCCTTTCTCAAGGGTGTTCAGCAGGGCTCTTCCTATCGTTTGACCAAAGCGGGCGGCCATATTGAGAAAAACTCACGGCTACCAAGAACAGAAGCTATGAAAGAATCTGAAGAAACTGTGAGTGTCACTTTCTTCCTTGAGGTATTGTACGCTATGCACCCTTGAGGGAATCTATGCTAATTACCCTTGAAAGTAACTAGGTACGCGACTACTCTCAAATACCGTTTCTGTTCTAGCACTTCCAAGGTCTTTTGCGGACCTGACGCTACACCGCTGATCCAGCAGGGGCCTGCATCTCGATGCTATACACCTTCTGCCGGAGGAAACAGCAGCGGTACAGGAGTCCAGCAGAATGACAAACCAGCCCTGCGATGATACAGGCCCAGGAGGTGAAACTCATCCAAGCAGCCGCAAACAGCAGAGCGCTCATCCCAGAGCTATGCCTGAAGGCGTGGTCATTGTCCTTGGTTAAGCTGATCCCAGGGTAGAGAAAGTCCCCAACTTGGTTGCAGCTATCGGAGAACCCTATGTAGACCTGAAACGCGCCTCTGACGGTGCAAAGGTGAAGCGTTAAGTTCTGACCACTGGAGAGGAGGAAGGGGTTCAGGGTTGCTGGATCAGGGAGTGCTGCGGAGTTGAGGGGGATTTGTCCAAGGCCAATTGGAGGTGGGGCCAGGTACCAGATGGGGGTTAGGTATGCAATCTCCACAATCAATACCGTAACAGTCACGGTATAATTCACAAGGAGATTCTTTGGGGCACGCCCGCCAAAGTAAGCTTCAAGTTGCTTCGGGAATCCGAAGAATATATTGGCTGCCCACCATCCCCAAGGGGACTTGAAGCAGGTAGTACCTATGAGCGAAACTAGGTACAGCGCAAAAGCTAAGGGAGCCCAGATCAGCAAGACTATCTCCAATCTCTGGACAGCTTTGCCTGTCTTCTTAACCAGCTCCGGTGCCTTCTTACAACCTCCGGGGTGCTGCAGCGTGTAATATTGGAATGAGTTGGCAATTGTGCTGGCGTTACAGAGCTGAAGCTGGACTGGGGGCCTGTGTGGGAGAAGGGGATTGGTCATACTGCTGTTGCTTTGCAGAAAGGCGTTTACCATGGAAGGATCGGGCAGGCTGGTGCTGCCGTTGACCTGAAGGGTGACCTCAAGCTTCATCGCCTCCCCTTTCCCAATGGATGCAACAGCAACAAGTAGGCAGATCATGACTGCCATCTCAAAGCACGCGGATCTGAAGAGCTTGCAGAAGATTGGTTCCATTGCGTCACTCTAAGTCTTTGGGGTCCTACAACAACTACGTCCAGGAGAGGAGCGCCTAGCAGATTATGTCCGCAACTTATCAGGGGCGCCTTTGGCCGGCCTAACACTGCAGAGTACAGAAAGCTGGGCGGCTCGAGGTGTCAAAGACGCGGCCGCCGGGCGGGATTCAACCGTTCAAAGGTTTAAGAGCGCCGCTCGGCCGGGCCGCGCCGGCTGGCCGGTTCAATGAATCTGACCCGCGGCCGCGGTGCTTCCGGCCTACTATGTCTTTCCGGCCGCCGGAAACCGGACCGGAATAGACTTGCTTATCCAAATGTGCACCAGACAGGAAGCCTTAGCTGTCAGACACGTCAATTCGCATCTTCAAGTTCTCATGATCAACAAACTGCGGCTGATCAAAAGTTTGAAGAACATGTACCGTTTGGCACACCGTTAATTGGCGTCTAGGTGAGCTTTCATTCAACTGATTAGGCTCGAACGCTGAGGCGATGTATCACGTCCGTGACGTCGGCTGTCTTCTTAGGTCTGCTGTAGAAATATAAGTGCCGTTGTCTGAAGCACGCTGTTGGTGACCTCAGAGGCGCGGCAGCAGATGAAAGAGAAGATAGGTAGTACCATCGAAGCGGTCTGCGTGTCTCCATATACATGAAGCTGCAGGACAAAGAGGCGTCCGGAAAAACTCATTATGCAGAGGTTTCGATACTCTCAAACGCTGGTATAAGACATCAATTCTCGTGATACTGCATGAATTTACTACCCATGGATTTGAAGTTCAATATTCTCATGCTCATCATCCTCTCGGATCATCCGGCTTCGTGCGGATGATGTCTTTGACCATTGGTCTTGCTTGCATGAAGACAGCTCTGCATATCTGACTTGAAAACGGCCTATCGGCCAGGTACATGCAGTAGATGTGTAAAAGTATTTCGAGATCATATGGCCGGCCCTGGAAAGACAACGCTGGGAAAGAAGGCGCCTATATAGTTAACGGGCGATGATATCCAGGTCGACAAAGAGCGTTCTGTAACAGAGCGCTCAGAGCGCTCTTAGTGCATACAGTTAGTGGTCGACTTCCCTCCAAAGAAACCTGGATCAAAAGCGTTCACCATCTCCGACACGATAACTTTCAACTGTTTAACGGATGATCACTTCTTCAAGTTCCTGAACGTATAGTCATCACTTGAGACCAAGAATCCAATCAATTTCGAATCGTCTATCTTAGAAGCTCGATCACGACGTCTGAGGGTGCCCTCCTTTTCGGCATCCTATGAAGTGCTCGTTTCCCATGTCAGCACCGAACAGCGAAAAGCACTGAACCAATTTTCCTTTTGCAAAACGGGGCACCTCCGGCCGCTGCCTACATAACTTTCACGTCTAAAAGGCGGAAGGTTTACGTCCTCAAGAGAACCGCCAGGTCAGAAACTACTTCGTTTGCGGCCGACGTTACGTCTTCCCCTCTCTCAAACTAGTGTTGAATAGCTTCGAATCGTTGATTCTTGACGTCAGACACCCGTCCCTGAAGGAGCAGGCATTTCGATCCTAACAGCTTTTCTCCGCTCAAGGCAGCAGTTCCAAATTCCGACACAGTGACAGAACAACCCAAAGATGACGTAAAGCCAGAACAAGCACGTGATGACACCACACACGCACAGCAGAGCGACCATACCCCCAGTATGGCGGTAGACTCTCTTCTTGTCGATGGTCAGGCTAACCCCGGGGTACAGGTAGTCTTCAATTTGGCCGCAGCTGCCTGAGAAGCCTATGTAGACCTGAAACGCGCTCCTAACCATGCACCTACACAGCGTTACGTTGTGGCCGCTGGAGTGGAGAAACTGGGTCAGGCTTGCTGGGTCAGGCAACGGGGCGGCGTGAAGAGTCGTCAGACCAAGATACGCCAGGTAGAGAGCCGCCACGCCGAATCCGGATAAAACCGCCACGAGGACGCCTGCCGGGATGCAGTCGCGCCGGATCCACTTGGGAAGACTTCCTCCAAACTCCATGCGCAGTTCTTTTGGAAAGCACCGCAGGGCGTTGCCAGCGCACTCCCTGAAGGATGCACTGAAGTGACGGGCGATAAAGCAGAGTTTAAAGATTGCCAGAGTCAGGGCAACCCAAAGCAGCCAGATTGCTTCAAGAGTGCGGATTGCTGTATCTGGGTTCCTTAACAAGCCCGGCGCGCTCTCGCATCCCCCCGGATGCTGAAGCGTGCAGAAGCTGAAGGGATTGGAGTAGATGCTCGCGTTACAGATCTGCAGCTGCACTGGGGGCCTGCGTGGGAGAAGCGGATTGAACAAACCAGTGTGGTTGTTCTTTAGAAATGAGTTTAGCAGACTTGGGTCAGGGAGACTGGTGCTGCCATTGACATGGAGGTAGACTTCAAGCGTGTAACGACTCCCCTCTTTGAACAAACACGAAGACAAAGATGACTAGGCCAAGCAAATAGCCTGCAGACCTTGAGAGCTTGAGGACAGCCATGATGCGACAGCTGCGCTCCAAGGCCTCTGCTTTGATCCTCCCAGTGAGGCTGATCCCAGCCCTTGCCGCGCTCTGCTACGCTTCACCGACACCCCTGATGAAGTCTGAATAAGCCGCCAGCAACCATGCCGGAATTGCATCTTTAGGAATAGACAAAGTGACGCCCTTGCCCTCGAGATGGTCCGTCAAGTGAGTCAAGCATATCCGCCGCATGTCTTGGCCGCCGCGGCCGGGTGTTGCGCGGTCGGCCGCGCGTCGTAATACCACCGGGTTTGGAGGGTTTGGCAGGCCCTCGCTTCAAGTTGCAAAGCTCAGCTCAGATTTCAGTCACTCTCCTGAACAGTGATCCTGAGTGAAAGTTAAAACTTGAAGTCAAGGTTGAAGCAAGCTCCTTGGAAAAGCGCATTGGTGGCAGCACCTGCCCCTGAGAGTGGTGTGGTTACTTCTAAGCAGGATAATCAGGAGTCGGGATACAAAAGCGTTGTCCTATCTACCAGAGACTGAGCGGGCGGACCTTTTCAAAAGTTGGAGAGACATGAGAACATCGACGGAAGAGCAAGGATTGTAGCAGCCGGAAGGTGCTACTTCAGTGACTGCCGGGCTCTGCAAAGTTCCTCTGACTGTCGGTAAGCTCTTCTGTGCAGCACCACCAAGCTGGCAACTCAGCCATGCTTTCTCTCCTCTTTTGCAATTTTTGCAGCATTTTTAAGGGGCGTGAACTATTTATGGCATGCTGATGATAATTGGTTCCTACGTTGGAGAATTTCGGAGTTCCTTCCAACTGATGGTGCGCAGGAACGGCAACTCGGCTGGTGATTTTGCGGTCCAGTGGATTGCTACTTTCTGCCACCATGTCAACTGATGTCAGTTGAGTGGTCGAACGCCCTGAACAGAAAGTTTCGCTCACATCTGTTTCACAACCATTTTTGAGATCCTCAAAAATTATCATTGTGCTGAAGGGATACTATTATAAGCGACATGTTCGTGGAATTGACGCAAATGATGCAATGTACCATTCTTTTGACATGCCCTTTCATTTGACATTCATCAAGTGCCCTGACTGAGTAGCCAGTTCTGTTTGTGACCAAAAAGAGGCTCCCTGGAGAGTTAGTCAGATGACCAAAGGTTGGATGAATCCACGGCATCAATGTGTGCCTTCTGACAGATTGATACTTTGAAAATTCTCTCCCTCTTCTTTGCGGCAACCTTAGTGACTCTGTTTGGTTGAATCACCTCCAAAAGTCTTGCGCCCCTCCAACTCGACTGCATGCCCTGCACACCTCTGTTTCTAGAAGGACCATCTCGTGTCAAAGAGCTCCTGAACACTCGCTCCCCTGTGGGGCGCAGCGTGTCAGTTCCCGAACCCCATCCCTCAAGGATTCCTGCTCAGGACTTCGTTCATACATCCTACTTTGAGTCCATGGATCAAATCATATCTCGTTCCATGTTCAGGCGGTGGCGCCAGGTTCCCCGTGAGGCGGGCCAGTGACCCCCCCTGGAAAAGGCAAGAGCGATGCCTGCTGGACCAGGGGGCCAGTTGAGCACAGGAGGGGGGACAAGCATTTCGCGGGGGCTAGGCAGAAAGGGCCCTGTAGTGGGGGCCGCGCTCGTGGGAACCCCCGGGTCCAGGAAAGCGGGGGAGAAGGTCCACTTCTGTGTGCTGTGCGATCTGCCCATCGCCATCTATGGCTTGCTGGTAAGCACTGTCGCCTCTGTTCTTCTTGCAGATTTATGAAGGATGGTGTGCCATGCAACTGTTAAGAGTACGGGAAGGGAAGTGAGTCCTTTCATTGGCATAGCAGCTTTCTGAGGCGTCATATCTTGCTTTCTGGCATAGCTGTATTCACAGGTGGTTGGGGAATTGCTTCATCGACAAGAAGGGCAATGGGACAAATTCGACCAATAAGAGGCAGGGCTAAAAGAGACACTCTCAATTTTAGCGGACACTCTCAATTTTAGCGATCAGCCTGCTCGGGACCGTGCTTTGTAAGTGGTTGGTTGATGTAAATGCAGAGGAAATCAGGGATCAGTGGGCCGGGGATTGCTTGAGAGATGTGGGTGCTCAGATGCGCAATATCCTTTAACAGAAGTTCTTAATCATGAAAGGGCGCAGGTTGTACCTGGACAATGTGGCTTGCTGTAGGACGGCCTTTGTCAACTAGCCGTCCGAAAGTGTGAGGCACACACTTTGTGATGCTGTTGGCTCACCCGCTGACATGAGCTTATTCCTCAAATCCATGCTCCTCTGATGTTCGTAGCCCTAAAAGCGGCACAAGCATCTGGTTCTCCACATCCATTCGGCAAAAGGGCGGGCAATTAAGCTTGTCATGAATTCTGCAAGGACCTTCTGTGTTTTTGGCCCCTGGCTGACGAAAGATTCTATCGCTTCCGCAGGTGCCATGTCAGCACGTGTTTTGCCTGGCATGCGCGAATGCTTTAGGCAAGACCTGCCCCAGGTACATCCTTTCAATCTACCCATACCACATGGTTTTGGCGGTTTAACTATGGTCGGTTGCGGACTGGTTAGAGGCTGCTTACGTGTCCAATGGTCAAACTTGAGCAGTGATCAGATCTTTGAACGAATCTACAGCCCGCTTATCAGTTGACGAACCAGAGCAAATCTGGTGATCGAGGCTAACGAGCCCTTCCTGTGATTTCTGAGGATAGCACTGTCGATTCTCTATACGTTTGTGGGCCCTGTGAAATCTTGTTCAAACTCCTGGTCATTGCAGAGGTCTAGCGTCAGCTAAAGTTAGGCAACGCCCAGCCGTCTTGCCTTTTCCCAATCCCCGTCAACCTAGAGAACTCGGAAAATGAGTTAGTGCTTTCCCTTTCTTTATCAAGAGTTCCTTAGTTCTGGCCGCAATGCTGCTCTGGCTTGCTCATTCTCTGCCGCCTTGCGACTTCGGGTGACAATGTCTGTCATTGGCGAGCGTAAATAGGCAGCGACGTAAGGAGCAGCGTCAATGTCTTACGTTCTCCATGGACGTCAACATTCTTAACCGCGCCTCGGGCCTGAGAGATGGCAGTCCTGGTTTTTCTTCCGTCCCTGAGCGTACTGCTTTCATTGTTGGCAGCGACCTTGTCGAGAGGAATCTCGAACTTGACGGGACAGGTGGTCCAACAAATTACTCCTTGAGTCTGATCGGCTCGACTGATCCTCGTGATTGCTGAAGCTTCACAAGTTCGGAGGGCAGCCGACGGACTGAGATAATAGCCCCTCTTTCCCTTGTGCTTTTGTGTTTTGTGCCTGCCTATAATCGATAGCGACGGGGGAGCAATCTAGAAGCGCCTCGTCGTGGCGCTTCCCTGCGGCCTTTTGAACAGGCTTTCGGAAACGCAATTTGTCCTGACGCCTTTTTCGGCAGCTTCTTGAATCGACTTTCGGAACCGGAACCGGTAAGGCGTGTAATGCTGCAGCCTTCAAAGGGACTTGGAAGCGCTCAGTTAGATTGCAGCTCAGCTCTCTTCGAAACCCATGCCCAATGTACCCAGGGACTGTCTCCTTCACCCTATCAATACACCAGACAGCCTCGCTCCCAACTCCGCACAACAAACCGGACTCCCTGTCTGATGAACGGACTGCTTTCCAGGTGCTCCGCTGCCATCCAGAGCGTCGACGCCGTGCGCTCCCCCCCGGGGGTCCTCATCTGCGGCATCCCCACCTGCCTGCGCGCCTTTCTGTCCAAGCCAGAGTTACTTCTCCACGTCCACGAGTCGCACCAAGATCTTTTCAAACCCGCGACCCCCCCTCCCTCGGCTCCGTCCCCTCTTCCAACTCAGCACCGGCCCCTTCACCCCCGGAGCGAAGTCGACTTCCCGCCGTTTTTCCGGGGGCCCGCCCCCGGGGGATTCGGTCCGGGTCGGCCGCCGGGGCCGGGGGGCCCGCTGATGGCCCCGGAAGGGTTTCGCCCAATGCGATGAGGATAGCGGGGGCGCTTTCGGAAGTGGCGTTGGAAGCATTAGCATGGGATTTGCGCGCTTTATCTTGGGGGCCCAACTCCAGAGATTGGTCCAGGACGGCCGCCCGGGCCGGCAGGACCGGTGATGCCCCCGGACCCCCCCGGTAAGCTTCCATCCGGTGCGATGAGGGAGTTGGAAAGGATCGGAGGAGGTGGACACTTCCGGGAGTGCCGTCAGATTCAATAGGATGTCTTCAATCAGGATTTGGGCCGGAACGTTCTGGTGCACTGCTGGACACAAAACGTCAATTGAGCCAGCGCTGCAGATCAAGGTCTACTGGACCAGAATGGTTGACCGACTTGCAGAGTTCCATTGCACCATATGGTGCGGCGTTCAATGAGGCCTGATTCAAATTCTTTCGTCCACTGTCAAAGCCTGGCCGAGTCATTACTGAGTTATAGAGACGGCCAGTTCTTTCGCACCAGTGTGACCACGTGCCAAGGAAAAATCATATGGTCAGTGACGGTGGCTATTGGATGCATGAGTCGAGTCATCCGATTGAGAAATGTCACCGTCTTGAGGCTGCACCGCATGCAGGCGGGTCACTGTAGTCTTTCTTCATGAATGCATAACATTGAATGGGATGACTGCTGCTTACATCATAGCAGTCATGCACGCTGGCTGCCCGCTTGCCAATTCATTGCCGCCTTGTCCGACCTTCAAGCCCTTGCAGAAAGGATACAATGATTGTCCCCTCTGTACCGTACGTGTACACTTCCTTTCATCTTATAAACATCTCGTATCATGCGTGCGACTGCCGCACATTTTCATATCGTGTTGAACGCATACGGTATAATTACGAATCTGTGGCTCAACGCGATGCTCTTGAAGAATAAGCTAGTGACTCAATGATTGGTGCCATTCAATTGCGCGATTTACAAGCCAATTATCTACCAAGGCGGCTAGCTTATACATGGATATAGATGTCATGGCCTTGGCTGTCGGAGTAAGAAGACTAATGTGCATTGACAAACGCGGTTACTGTCTAGCGACTGTATCACGCTCTTGCCGCACGCAAACATGATAAACGCCAATCGGGCCCACGCACCATGCCAGCATGTAGCCACCAGCCTGAGGACCGGGAAAACGGATTCATGCATGTGCAAAACTATATGCGGTAGCCTAGAAGGCCCACATCCGGGCCGGGCGGCGAGGTATACTAAGCGGCAGAGTGTCGCGCCACGTTTATCCCCTGGAGCTCGATGGAATCCCTGGAGAGTGCCCGGTATAGCAGCTGCAACCCTGCAACTGTTGTGCGGGCTCGGCGCCAGTCAGGGGAGGACATTGGAGGAGCACCGGGCAACAACTGTACGGTCACCCGGTCGTTCGTTGACTTCATGACAAACGCACGAGTAACCCACTGAAACTCGACGGAAGTGTACGTATTGAGCCAGTATCGTACAAGTTACTACCATCTCACATTACCTGCATTATGCACTGACTTTCTGGAATCTGAGTTGACTCAGCTTGAAGTTCCCTGCCGTGGTAGAACGAAATAAGGGACAGATCGACAGATGCTAAGTAGCTGCATCGAGGGCCACGTCGATTGCAATAAGGTACTATGGCAGGAGCATCCCTTCAGCTAGCTTCCTGATCCCTTTTTAATTAATCAAAGCTCTCACGCCCCGGATAGCTGTAACCTACCTACTGCCTCGAGTAGTGTATCCCTTCATTGTTGAACTTCTGCACGCACTGCTGACTACTGTACTACGCGCTGCTGCAGAGCTGCACAACCGTACCTAGGGAATACAGACTCAAGATACGACCCAAGATCGACTATTCAACGAAAAGGCGCCGCCAGCCAATCTCACTTATCACAAAACCCATACATCAGATATAAAGCTCTCACAAAGTCCTGCCTCTCAGCGAACCATCTAAGAGCGAATCCAAGAGGGGAAGAAGCGGGGGAAGGAGAAATTCTTCAGGGACTAGTGATCGAACTTGCCTCCTCGCCTTTTTCTTCTTTAGTGCCTGACCTCAGCTCAGCCGCCTTCACCCACTTTTAAGAAGCGGCAGCGACTTCCCTGTAGCCCTCCGACCACCTGCCACCTTCCACTCTCCTTCCCACAAGTCCCCGTCCCACAACTTGGCCTTGCAACAGCCAGCCGCCATCCGTCCAACAACTAGAATGAAGCGCCCACCAGCACTCCGGATGCTGGCCTTCGCCGCGCTAGTTGCGCTCGCGTCGCTTGGTGCTCCCGCTTCCGCTACGCGCACGCTGCAAGAGTCGCAACCGGTTCTGATCCCCACGCCCAAACCCACACAAATTTCTGGGACTGCTAGCCCGATTATAAGACCAAGCGTTCCGATCCTCGTTCCGGACTCAACCCCTGCTTCTGGCAATCCGCACGAGTGTCCCCAAGACACGGGGTATGTTTTCTGGGGCGTTTCGCAGGAGGGGCGCGGACAGTGCGGCAAGGCGTACCTCTCGGCTGAGGTGAAGGGGGACCTGATTGGTGGTGAGGTTCCACTCTTTGCTCCTACTTAAAGGAATCTTAAGTGAGAAGAACGGCGCCCACATAGAGCTTCAAAGCTGTCCGCTTTCAAAAATAGACTGCTGTGATCATAACAGTGGAGTCAAAATCAGGCTAAATACAGATTCATTTGCGTGCGCACCCCTAGAAACGCTTTCGCGCTCTACCTTTCCCCGTCAGCCAGCGAGCTACAATTGACTCAAGATTGCTCGAGTCTTGGGAAAGCGCAGACCTCCCTTGACTCATTCGCTTGACGTAAAACGATACACAGTTTGAATGCACAGAATTTTGCTGCTGTAATTTTTATCATTCACACTGATGATGCTGGGCGTTTTGGCACAATATTGTGCAAGGGATCAAAGAAGGCTTGAAGATCTAAAAAAGAAATGGACCCGGCAAACTTGGCCACCGGACGCTATTCACGTCGTCCCTCTGCAGAATATCCTAAGTTCGAGCTGTATGTTTGACACCCGGCCCGACATCTTGTCTCCTTTACATGATCACGTGTGCTCGAAGAAGGAAGAAAGAACGAAAGCATGACAATCTGAATGGTTACCCCTTGAGATTTTGAAACCTGTTGCCTTGATAGTTGCCTTGATTGTTCAATTACAGCTTTTCTAAAACAATGTCTGCCTCTTCTCGCAGGCCTAGATCACGGAATACTCATCGGCGAGGCGCGAACAACGGAGGTGTTCACACTCGAGGTGGACTCCAACAATCACCAGAACGGCGCCATTCTCTGGGACTGCCACAAGAACGTGAAAGCGCTTCTGACGTCGGTCGCCGGCGGAGATACGTCATCTGCCACGCCCTACCTCAGGGCTGACGTCACGCTGACCAACGAAGCGGGGCAGACCGTAACGGGGCCCCAGGTGGTTGCGGAGTGGTTCGCGTCGCACTTCGGCAATCGGCCCAGTCCATCCGTCAAGGTGAGCAGGTCCTGGATTCTAGAGTTCTGGTAGATCTCAGAGCCGAAGCTGAAAAGACACAAAGAGAGGGAGAGAAGTCTCCATTCCCTGTCGTCGATGGACCGTGTCATGTTGACGTCAGCGAGAGCGTGATCCTCCAAGGATGCTGCTCGTCGTCGATTGTCCTATCAACCATGTAGCACCGGCAGATGATGTACAAGCTCAACATGGGGGGGGAGAGCGCGCACATGCGCGCGCGCGCCCTCTTTTGCCTTTCCAAGAACCAGTTTATCAACGGGTCTTCTCTTGGAATAACAGACCAGGGCTTCTTTTAAAATTGGCCAGCCGCCAAAGATGAAGCCGTTTTTCTTCTAGGCCAAGAGCATCTTAAAGCCGTTGGCGGCACAAAATAGAGCCGCCTTGACCGTTCATTCTGTCGAGAGACACGGGGAATCCACGTTCATCTTGTTCGTCTAGCGGCAGCTCAAAAGCCACTCAAAGCTGCTCGTTCAAAGTCGATTATCTAAGGTGCTCTGTAGGTGCTCTCCTGTCGAGCGTGGGGCTTCTCGTCTATGACTCAAATCAGGATTCGAAATGCTGCAATTATCTCAGACGACTCTCATTTTGTTTGCAGGTTTTCAAGGTCTCGTGGAAGCGCGACGAGAATAATGGCATTTACAAGGGGCTTCGAATGACTGTCCGTGCGGAGACCGACACCCAAGTGATTACGTTCGCCACGAGCTAGGACGTTTCCACGTACCCGGTCAACGTCCTTGCCAGCGTGAATCAGGTCCGGATTGTAAACAAGTAGAGCTTGGTGCGCTCTTCGTGCTTTAAGGAGCTAGACATTAATGGTAGAAATTTCTGTTACGACTCTAAATAAACACTCGTTTAAGGGCCCCCTATCAGGAGTAGCAGGCGGCACAGAGCATTAGCAAGCGGCACAGAGCAGTGCGCTTATGTTCTATTATTCCTCTTCGTACCCAAGTAAACGTAACTGTGTCAATCGGCAAAGTGACATTCTGTAATGTCGCCGTTTCTAAACACGAAAGCGGACAGTGGTACTTGCCTGCATGTGAATTGGGCTTGAGTTGACTGCAGATATACTGGATTCATTGATCTTAAACCTACTTTAGGTGTAGAACAGAATTGATGCCATACATTGCCGGTGCAACCGGTTGGGCTGCGAGGGCTGCGACCTGCCGTCTCGTCTAGGGCCCCGGGCGACGTAGTCAACCCGTCTGAGCCCGCCGTCTCGCCATCCGACCGCCCGCCCGTCAAATATGTATGTGCTGACGTTAGCGAACCGCCGGCTGATTAACTGCAGAAAGTACCACCGACTGATGCCTCGTTAAGTAGAGGAGGCTGCAACGATGCATGGGAATACGAAGTCACGTTTCCCAGTTTGCCGAAAAGACCTTAGCTGCAAGTGAAGCGGGACAATTGTGACAACGGCTCGGGAGGGATCGACTCGAATGACAGCGAAATGAGAAGAGAACCACTTACAAACAAGTCCAAAGGAGATGGCCACTTAGAAGGCGCCATGTTGCAACCATCGAACATCCCTTCAGTAAAGTCTGGGGGCAACTCCTCGCCCTCGGCAGGCTGTTTGCTGACGTCAGCGCTCGCCTCCGTGACATCATCTATTGATCACTAGGAAGTGCCTCATCTCCCAATAGCGCTTCTTATTGGCACCCGCCACCGCCACCTCGCAACCCCGCTTTTCGTTTAACATTATTATAGCGCCGCCGCTCGAGTTTTTTCTCTGCAGTCTCCGTCACCTTTTCCAGTGCAATAGCTGGACTCATAGCGTCCCGCTTTCTTCAGCCAATCCATCCGTTCCGGTCCCCAGAACTCCGGGTCCTGATTTTATCTGCAGCTGTCTGAGTCCCTCCCAATCTTTTAACAACCTCAGCGTTCCTAATCTGACGCGTCAGCGCACGACCCTGGGAACTTTCTTCGCTGCTTCTTGGGCGAGAGCCCACGACTGGAATCCAATTCCCCCTGTCCTAGAGTGGATTTCTATTAGCACCCTTGAGAGCCACAGCCCCATCCACAGCGGTCGGATAAGGGCCCCTCGTTTTCGCTCACCTTTTACCATGTACAAGAATCCTTCAAAGTCCTCTCAGAAGTCGGATGAGAAGCTTTCTGGGAATGCAAATCACAAAGAGGTGACTGTTCGTACAGGTCGGGAAGATCCTAGGACGTACTGTCGGTACTTTCAAAAGCACTGCTGGTTGGGCCCATCATGACGGCATGCATTTCGAAACGGATGGATGCATCGAAGGGAGAGAATACGAATCCGCGAACCCAGATTCACATGTGGGCGCGCTCGGCTTCGCAACGCTGCATCATGTATCCGGGCGCGTCTGTAGATTCTATTGGAGGCATTTATTGATCTGTAAATGGCTGGCTTTGTTGCAGACGTATTCTAGGTTCGCTCGATGCAAGCGGCGACCAAAATGGTGTTACAGATCCTCTCACGCATGTGAAAAACCTTTAGTACGAACCAGGTCCGAACAAGGTTCGAAAATGATGAGACCAAGTTGAGATTGATTTTAAGCTCGATGCTGATATGCTGACAATCTGGGACTGATTGGATCTTGCTCCGAGATGGTGCAGACTCAATCCTAACTTGTCTGGGCTGTCCGTAGCTGAAGCCGTGCAAGCGGCTTGATTGATATGCGGCTTTTATCCCAACAGCATGCGTGAACTTAAAAAATCGAGATTTCCTGATTTTATTGAGCTCTAGTATTGAATTTGTCAGTACAAACGCTATCTTGAGAGGCGTCTGCAATTGACCATGGCAAGCCCCCTGACAATTGCTTTGAGTCTCACTGGCAGCGTCGAGTCTAAGATTCGTCCTGTGGGCCTGGCATGCAAGTCGTGCGCAATACACGTCACGCATCCGTCGCTGGTGGGCGCTGTACGTCAGCAGAATAAGAAAAGTTACTGCGTAAATTACTGATCGTGTAAGGTCTCGTGAAATTTTTTGACACTGCGTAATTCAAGTCTTCAGGGTTGTTGGCCGCAAGCAGGTTTACAAATAGCTGCTCGTTTTACAGTTCACAAACGTAGCACTCAGCCCGTTTGCGGCTGGCCAGGCAAACCCCCAGATATATGCATTATGTCCCGCTGGCAGCGTCAGATAGCTTACGCTGTCCTTTGAGCCGCCACTCAACTCGAGCTCATTCCATGCACATGTATGTCAGCATTTTCTTGAGTTCCGAACGTCGAAAGCGAATCGTCTTCAACAGAGAATTAAGGAACTACAAAGGATTTTATCGACAACGAATCACACAGAACATCATGATCAAAGCGGTTCAATTCGTGCAGAAGGGAGCTGATCGTAGTCAAGTGCAGCAATCAAATTCGGGATTGTTCGGCGCAGCTTGTATGAAAGACTAAATATTTTAGAATCATAGCAGCAATAGCCTAGGCACTAATTTAACGCCCGGGTGCTCAGCATCTACGACAAGCACAAGCGTCTCTCATTCGGAATATCCCTAGCTCCTGAGAATTGAATTATACCAGAGTTTTACTTGTTTACAACGCGGACCTCATATACATAACCAAGGACGTAGGGGTACTCTGCAATGTCCCACTTGGTAGCAAATTTTACAACCTGTGTGTCCGTTTCTGCTCGGACAGTCATTCTTAGGCTCCACGTGTCCTTCGGGTAAGTCGTTCGCATCTCCCACGAAACGTCGAACACCTGGTTCGGATCGAGCAAAGAGAACAGTGAGCTTAAGCATTCAATTTCGGATGGTCGTATTCTGCAGAAGCTGAACAATGCTCTAAGCATTCAAAACTAATTGTAGAACTTCTGGAACCTGCTTGATGGGATTGCGCGCCATGCTCAGATGAAAGCAACAAAGTCAAACGGAGCGAGACGAATGCGGCAGATGCGCATTCAAGCTGCAGCAAACCAAACCATGAGAACTGCTCCGCGTCGAATTGCCGTGGCATTGGAACCCCTAAGTTCAGGACGCCTAATGTACTTTGTGGCATCGTGTGCTTCGGTTAACATGGAGATGGCGCCACAAATAGCGCGGCAGACTCGTTCTAAGAAAACCTGAATTGTTGAAAGGGCAATTCATCGCCAGTGCCTCATATTGACACAACGGCAAACGAAATTGGCCGTTGGTGACGCCACTAATTCGCCTATTGACAGAAGATGCAAAACATATCCTCACTTCGCATTCTTGATCAGTTCTGGTCCCAGAATTGTACCAAAGTACCAGAAACGCGCACTCCTTACCCCGACGGCTGGACTGGGCCGATTGCCGAAGTGCAAGGCGAACCACCCCGCCACCGCCTGGGCCCCCGTGATGGTCTGCCCCGCTTCGTCCTTCAGCGTGACGTCAGACCTGATGTAGGGCGTGGCAGCATCCGGATTTCCGCCGGCGATTGCCGCCAAAAACCCTTTCACTTGCTGGTAGCAGCTCAGAAGGATGGCGCCGTTCAGCTGAAAGGTGGGCTCCATTGTGAGCTCGAACACTTCCGTCCGCGTCTCTCCCGTTCCGTCTCCTGCAGCGGAAACAAAAACAACACACGGCTGTCAAAAGGCCAATCTTGCTACAACAAGAAAAGGAGGTACTGAAGCCTTACAGGACCGAGTAATGAGTTTTAGGAGGTAGTCTACAATCCATGATAAAGTTAACTGACTAGTACGAACTTCAGATTGCAAACAAGCCAGTATCAGAGCACTGAACCGCACGAACAGCTCCAAAAACGACGCACCGCAGTGTTGCGCGGACAGTCGCTTTTGCACACTGTTTCTGCGTCTCCATTGACGACTGGATTTGCAAGGATGCTTCAAGTTCGTTGAGGGTCAGTGAAAGCTCGTAGGTGACTTCGATCAAACGGATGATCTACTCTATTCGTACTAGCGAGGCGTCAGAAAGCCCGAACAAATCTTGCAGTTCCCGGCCACTGCAAGCATCAAATATAAGGTTGGAATGAGCATAGCACTGGAGCTGAACATGAGACTTCAACAAGCTCTCCAAGAGCTTTGGAAGATATGTGGACTTCATTGAGCTCGAGCTCATTCTAGCGCTTGCACTGCACCATGAAGAGCAATCTTTCATTTTTGTCAAAGAAAAAGGGCGTCAGATATAGCAAACAGCTGAACGGCCTTACCTGGAAGAATGTCTCCTCGCACCTCGGCCAATTGGTACGTCTTGGCACACCGTGTAGCTCCTGTCCCGGTCGTGAAAGGCCCCTGTGGCAAGAATCCAGTTTCTACGGGGCAAGTGTGATAGTCCGGCACATGACTGACGCTGCCAGCAGACGGAGCGTCTGCCAAGACCTGGACGCCGGGTCTCGCAGTGGGGCTGGCAGTCCCAAACATCAATGACGCGGGTTTTTGCGGGGAGCTGACTGGAGCGGTTTGGAACTGCTGCAGCGTGCGCGCAGCGGACGTGGGCGAGGCGAGCGCGATGAGGACAGCGACGGCCAGCGTGAGAAATGCCATTGCCTTCTTCATGTTTGTTCGGGTGTGCAAAGGGAGCAGGCTTTCTAGTCTGGCCAGGGTGCAGAGACTGGCAGGAAGCGTGGAAGCTGAACCAAATGATTTGCAAATTGGGGTCGTGGCTGCTGGCTATAGCAAGTGTGTTGATGCCTTTAGAGAGTAGTGCGCGCGGCTGGGAGCTGCTTGAAAGAAGAAAAGCCTGGAGGCAATTTGCATGCTTGTTGATGCATCTGTAGGGTTCCAGTTCTCTGAAAGTCGTGAGAGAGGATGGATCAGCTGAGAGCTTGGTGGTACGATGGAAGTTTGTGAGAGAAAGGATTGCGTCCCAGGCATATGTAGGAGGAAGTTCATTAGTCCTCTGTGCATATGGCTGGCAAAGCACACAATGCAGTGGTACAACTTCAAGTTCTGTACTCGAACATCTCCAATGAGCTAGCACAGATGATTGACCTCCAAAGCTGATCACTTTCGGGGCTAAGATTATACAGTGTTGTAAGTGCGAGGAAGCCTCACTCTGTACGGATGAATCAAAGCAACTCATGATTGTGCTTCATGTCCCTGAAAACTTCACCTATTAAAGCTCATGTGTTTATTATATAAATGTATAGATTGCCGCTTCACGTTGACATGAGCTGCACCAGTAGCCTGAGCTCAGAAATATATTGATGGCGGGCCCCGGTCTGGCATTTTCCCAAGCTTTCAACGGCAGGAGATGTTAAGCTACTCCATAATTTGAATGTGTGTCCGAATCTCTACCGCACTACCGCACGGAGTCTGGACCTTTCTCGGGCCCCTTTTAACATCGCACCCAAGATTTTGCTTTCGACGAAGTGTGTTCGATAGCTACCAGAAAGGCAGGGAGTATGCTATATCGTCGACTTTCGTACAATTCGGATAATGAATTGCAGACTGGCCGGGCAACACACTGTGGCATGGCCGAGTCGGCCTCGGAGTCCGGACCTTCCGAGAAAGTGCCCGGTAGCAGCTGTAACCCTGCAACCGTCAGTCGCGTGATGAAAGTTGGAGCCCGGTTAGGACCGGCCTTGCGGGTGTACCGTATACAGCCGCCGCCGGCCGATCGGAGCCGTTGACTTGGTCAAACAGTACGTACCGTATCAATCATGCAGAAAATCATTGCGTGCAGCCAACTGCGGAGCCTGTGCTTACTGTAGATAGTTGAAGGCCGCGTTTGACCACTCTCTTCTGAGTAGCTGCAAGCCGCTGTGGCTTCAGAGAACGTAGGCAGACTTAATCTTCAGCTACAAGCAGAATCAGAATCAGCTGTTGTTCAACCATACTAGCTGTCAGACGGAGCAACACAGCTGACAAATCTGACGAATTAGGCTTGAGCTAGCTCGGACCACTTCGAATTCACTTGATCCTAAGTTGGAGGTCAACGGACGGCGCTATTGCTCGCTGG